TGACATGCTGACTGTTTGACAACAGACGTTTCTATTTGGGATGCTTTTTATCTCAGGCTTAACTCTCACTTAATCTGAATAATCCAACTCCGATAACAGTGTAGTGCCAAAGCAGGTGTTTCCGGTTCTGGCAACACACATAGCTACTGCTACCATTCCTGTTTACAACTGTCAAATGACTGCTGCGAGTGAGACACAGTTCCAAACAGGTCTACTACCACTAGTTGAGTTCATTTAGCCAGCTAATGTTAATCCTAGCTCACCGAGCATAGAGCAAAGAGACTTAGTTTGCCAGCCTACAAACCACTTACACATAAACTTAAAATGAACGTGCTGAAATTAAATGTAGAAACTTCTAATACGTATTTGACATCCACTCTTAATGATTAGCTGACTTCAGACAACTAAAACAACATGTACAAATGTCCGATACGAATTTCAATCTATTATATCCATGCATCAGACTACAATTACTGACTATGGAAAAAGCAACACCCACTTCATATTGTGTGACATTTTAAATGTTTGTAATAGTTATAGCTAATTGACTGATTTTATTATACATGCTATATCATTATTGAGTTATTGTTGTAAATGCCTAAAACTTCTATGACTTCCATTCCAATTTGAGGGTTGGTAGCTGCTCCTCAGTGAACATGTAAGCGTTTCCTATTTCAAAATAATACCATAAACTATCTTAAAAGATCATAGCGTTGCCCCCTCTTGCTTCAGCCAATCAGTGGAGTATAGCGCCGTCAAACTACCACACACTATTCCTTCTTCATTACATTTCAAATGACACATTCAAATGCTCACATAACGATTGTGGGCAATTTCACAAAGAGCAGCACGATAACATCACCTCACAGGTGGAACATGATAGCTCGTGCTGCTCGGTGTAACGTCTTCGAGCCTGTATGTTGTCCTTAAATGACATAATTTCGTCAGACATGTTTTTTAAGAGGGGGAACAGTGCCAACACATTCAGCGTAAAAGATTTAACGTATACTTTATAAAGAATGGCTAGCATTGGGGCTAACGTCCTCTTCCTTGATGTCAAAGGCATAATGCTAACAGAGGAGAGGCTTCGACCTAACTACACTTACACTTTTGCAATATTCGCTACAAAGACACAGCCCGTCGATTAACAATATGAGACTGCGAGCTCACCTTGTAAATTTCCAGTCGTTATTGATATTCTTTTAAAATGGTGTGTTTTCTTTCCTATATAAATACAATGCTGACCCTCTACTGTACAGCAGCAGCCATGTTGGGGAGCGTTCTGCCTGGAAGAAGGAATAGTGTGTTGTTATTGGACGGCGCAAGATTACTCTATCCACTGATTGGCTGGAGCAAGAGTTAGTTAAGATAGTTTAAGGTACTATTTTGAAATAGGAAACCTCAAACCTTTACTGAAGAGAAGCTACCAATTAATTTCCCTCAAAGTCTTAAGCATTTACGACAATATATCAATAATGATATAATATGTGTAATGAAATCCGTAAATTAGATATAACTGTACAAATATTTACGGTGTCACAAAATATGAAGTGGGCGCTGCGTTAGTCTGTCGGTATGGTTGTTAGTCCGCTTTTTATATTAGGACTAGAAGAAATGGATAAAATAATTTGTAACATATATACAATCTGTAGTTTTACTAAATTGAAAGGTTATTCCGAGACTCACAGTATATCTGTCATGGTGTAGCAAGCAGGAACGGAAAAGAGCATAAGTTAATGTATGCTAGACTGACATAATGCATATTTTAACCAGCTGCATTACTCTTTGACAGCAAGTTAAAATGCACTAGAGTCAATCCCAAGTAAAACTAAAGTAAAATATATAATATCTAATCTTAAAGTCAAACCTGTTTTTGTGTTTGCCTGTTAGTGTTCCGTCTATGATAGACGGAACACTAACATAAACAAAACAACAAAAGTAAAATTACAATATACATGGGATATCACATAGTGATATCCCATGTATATTGTGATTTTACTTTTAACTTTACATAATGAGATATTGAATTTAGAACCGTATAAAGTATATTTAGACTATGGTATTTCTACCTTTGCTTAAGTAAAGGATCTGAACACCACTGCTTGATAATAAGGTGTAGGATATAAGCCAAGGAACATAATGAATGACTAATCACTTTTAATAAAGCCATTGGTTACAGCTTAACCTTGTCTTGCAACTTGGTTTTGATTGTGGTAGTGTTGACTCTACATACACACAAACACACATTATGGATTATAGGGTACATAAACAAGTGTCCCGACCACATCTACCCATAATAACATTTAAATGATAATGAAAATGGTACATCTCGTAAACTTTAAGGTTTACTTTTGGTAAATCTTTAGAATCCGACCCATTCATTGTTATTCTTTATAACTTGCAGTTTTTTGTTTATGTATTGATACAGTGGGCTGCAACGGTAGGTACGATAGAACATGATGTAAAGTTAGAGAAAGAGGAGAATTTGGGAACTGAATGTATACTGCTGATAATTTAAGAGATATAACAAGGTACAAGGTACCTATTGAACAATATTTTGGGAGCAGTTTTACAAAAGGTATATTGAAGAACTGTAAGTACTGTGTCCCTATGGTAGTGTTACAGGGTACGTGAGAGTGACCATACACTCAGTCATAAAGAACTTCACCCTCAGCTGAGGCTGTGTTTGGTGCAGCTGTGGTTGAAGGTAGAGATAGATTTTCTTGACATTTATCCTGTGATTTAGTCAAAACGTCTGCTCAGTTGGATTGTTCTTTTCTGGAGTATGGATAAAAAGGATGTGTTGAATTTGAAAATGAAAACATGACCTATCGTTTGTTGTGTTATTTTAATTTTGAGATGGCAGAATGAATATTGATATTTTACTTTTAGGTCTACACTGGGACAGGACATAAAATCATCCAAACCTGCCTCCGCTGTGAGATGGAAACTTTTTAAAAAAGCATTCTACTTCCTGTACTCCATAACAACAACTCCATGACATCTCCCTGCGTAACAACCACAATTGTCAGTTTCCTGTATTGGGTTTTTTAAGATTGTCAATGCACAGATGTGTTTATTACAATCACACTACATATTATTACTTGCACAACCTGTGTGTTCATTTGAATCATAAGAGAATAATAACTCAGATCTGTGGATATATGTAACAAGGCTTTTAGTGTAGGCTACTTCAGAGTCTCTGTGTTAAAGGGTGGGGCTGTACAAGGGTGCTCTACAAAAGGAACAATGATAAGGTTACTGTGCAACTACTAAATACAGGAAAGCCCATAAAACGAGTCTAGCTTACCTTTTTCTGTGTGATAATGATCAACATTTCTTAAGAACGAGGTGTGTATGTGTAATTGGTGCAGGTGAAGGATAAGAGAGGATAGGAAATGACCCTGGGAGAAAGCATGAAGCCTTGTTTGCTGCTACAGTCAGTCTGTGATGTTTCAAAGTCTATGTGTGTAATTGTGCCTCAACTTGTGTGAAACTGCTTTCTTATGATCACCCTGTTTTATTCCAAACCAAACAGAGACTCTCAGTGATCCCATCCCGACCCAAACTATAAGGATGCGGATTCCTGAGAGGTTTAAAAACTCACAGCAGAGTATATTTTAGTTGTTTGCATTCTGATTCCACACATATTTTCAGATCTGTATTATTGTCTGCTAATCTGAAGAATAAAGACACTTAGTAGTACACAAAACGTTAGTGGCAGCTGAACAGTGTGCAGGGAGAAATTATTTTAACCTCAAACTGATATATTCACTGTTGGCTTTAAATAAGAGGAGAGGAGGAGATGGAAAAACCTCCTGAACCATGAACTTTGAAGGACTCCTAACAAGGAGAACAGCTCCCACGATCCCACTGCTTCAGAATGCCTTTTGTCTTTTTGACTCCTTTTTGTTTTACTTGAGAGACCCCTAGTGGCAGAATATTGTGTGTTTAAATGATGGTGTATGACACCATGCTCAAAGAGAAAGGTACCACTTTACTCAGAAAGGGGAAATGTATATAGAAAATGACAAAGAAAATCATACAGAGGTTTCCATTAACCTGTAAGCCTACTTGTGTTATGACCAAAGACAATTTAATTTGGTCAGAGAGCCTACTCACTACTGGTGGTGCAGGAATGAGTCCTAAAACTGGGGAATTAGTTGGCATTTGACTTCCAGTTCCCTTGTCACAAAGTCAGGGATTTTTTGAATGTGTTTTAGGTTAGATGCCTGAAATAAGATCTGTGGTCAACACAAGCTGTAGAGATGTTCATGTTTGTTTTAAGACATACATCAGTAAATACCCCACTGGTGAATGTCTGAAGCTTCTATGTGTCTTACAACAAATGAAAACAAGTGACTTGAATTAATCAACAGATATCTTTAATGCTCAAAAGTATTCACTTATATTACATCATTGCAACATTAACTTCTAATAAGAATTAACAAACTTTACATTTCAAAAATTATGTTATGGAATATTTATGCACAAAATAAGTATTTTTAAAGCATTGTTTGATCATACAATAAATTACTTGAATCCCTCCTGCATTCCCATACAGTATGTTCTTTGATCCGAGTCCACATGTGTTTACACTCTTGGGTGGTCTATGTGTGTGTGTTTGTGTCCATATTCATGTCTCAAGCCCATTTCATCAATGACACAAATGAAGTTACACAGACAAAAATATATAAATTAACAAAAAAAGGTAATCACAAATGTTACAGAAGTCAGTGATTAACAAAAACTCAATACTGTGTGTGTGTGTGTGTGTGTGTGTGTGTGTGTGTGTGTGTGTGTGTGTGTGTGTGTGTGTGTGTGTGTGTGTGTGTGTGTGTGTGTGTGTGTGTGTGTGTGTGTGTGTGTGTGTGTGTGTGTGTGTGTTGTGTGTGTGTGTGTGTGTGTGTGTGTGTGTGTGTGTGTGTGTGTGTGTGTGTGTGTGTGTGTGTGTGTGTGTGTGTGTGTGTGTGTGTGTGTGTGTGTGTGTGTGTGTGTGTGTGTGTGTGTGTGTGTGTGTGTGTGTGTGTGTGTGTGTGTGTGTGTGTCCGTCTACTGGCGGCTTGAAATGGAGCTGGAGACGGATGGACGGATCAACTCTTCCATTATCTGAGCAAGGATGTGGCACAACTCCTTAGCCTGAAATGGAGATTAACAGATTACATCTTGAGGGTAATTTCTAATATGGCTGTTTCCAACGACTGTATGTTCAAAAAATTATAACAAATGCGAAATTCACTCTTAAAGCCCTCTAAATAGAAAAGTGTTGACATTAAGCGCTGCCACAAACTGGGATTGCATATTTGAGAAAGGTGACACGATGAACATGACTAATGATAGCAGTGATAAAATTAGAAAATATTTTATGTTATACAAACTTTACAATAACAGACAGTGTAGGTCAAAATTCTCTATACATATTTAAGGGACCTTCGCTTCATTGGCATTTAGAGAATGTCATGGGGTTCTTCTCTACTTTGAATTAATCATAATATTTTTTATGAGCAAAACATACGTTTTACAATATCTCAAAACGTTAATATGTTCAATAGCTATTTAAATGCTGCTACTGATTTTTAGCCATGGATGAGTACTTATTGGTTTTTATTACCAATGTCTGCTTTTTATCTATATTTACATCTTTATTATTGTTTGCCTATTTTATCCGCTATGTCACTTTTCACTTTTGCTGTAAAGCTGTACATTTCCCCACTGCGGGACTAATAAAGGAATTATGATTATGATTATTTCTCTGACAGAAAGATTGGGAAATGTACTTTTTTGTCACAAAATAAATTGGTCAAATTCATAGATTTGTTGTTGTTCTGTGAAGGGTGAAAAATATGCAAAGACATACGATTTTGGTTTGTGATCCAAAGAGCAAGACAAGACGCTATGTTTGAATTTGTTAAAGAGATCTGTTAAACATGTGTGTATTTCTTAAAAATAAAAAATCTACACAACATGGAGTCACAGACAGCTGTCAGTACCTGTTTGAGATGAATGGTGACTTTTTTGGGTCGCCCCGGATTGCCATAACTGATGTCCACAGCTGGCACTTTGCCGTGTTTCTTGGGGCGGACTGTGCGCATGGACTGCACGTCCGCCAGAGGAATCTGAAACACACGCTCCTGCAGAAGAAAGACACATCAATCATCAGATGGATTCTACAGGACTTTATCAATATGTAGTAATTATTTCTATAAAAATAAACTGAATCCCATTGAAAAAGGACAACAAATGTTGAATAATTCTGAAATAGAAAAAATAGTGCAAGGAAGTATGGAAATACAGTAAAAGAAAGACGTCTAGATTTCCTTTTGTGGCCTTCAATGATTCTAAAACCTAAATAAAAAATATATGTTCTCAGTCACAAGTTAAACATATTACATTTTGATATAACAATAACAATGTATATGATTTTTTACACACAGACATTGAAGCAATGGTCAGAGCAGTGGTTCCCAAACTTTTCCTGCAGGGGCCCCCTTTTGTAGATAAGAATATTTTCCACTTTGGGAACCACTGGGTTAGAGTGTTTTAGTGGGATGGCTAAGACCGTAAAAGTAAACGAAAACGGGTTGTGGTAACTCAAACATTTAAAAAAGGTAATTCACCGATAATTTTCTGATCTGAACTGATTTGTAATATTAAGTAAACAGTGCTCAACCACTTAAGTCCATATTGGTGAATATACTCAATATGTTTTACAGTAATCTGTCTGACGCTGGTCTGAATGGTGGTCTGAAGTCACGCATTTACATACAGATGTAGAAAGGACTCCACCCAGCGGATTCCAACCAAAAACCCAGCGTTTACCAGTGGCTGGGATTTTAAAGCCCTCCCACTATTTCCTGAGAGGGCGTTGCCAGATTTCCCCATTTGTTCAATTTCAGGATTTAACCATTCGGATCCAAGTAGACGGAAGGAATGAGGTATTTGCGGTCTACAATGACAGAGAAGAGACTGTCAAGTTAGGCTGTACTCAGCATTGAATCAAAACGCACTAAAGCTTTAGATCTTAATACGTTTGTGAGGCGTTTTGCTGAACAACATGGTAATCGCCGCATTCAGCTGTAATACATGCCAACTTGATGCTCTGCTCACGGATGACTCGATGAGCATAAAAAACTGTTAAGATGATGACCTTGTATGTGTGTATATATTTTTTTTCTTTGTGGGGGTCTGCCCCCAAAAAACAGTTTCAAGTCCTGAGAAAGTCAAATAAGACAGTGTGTAAAACTACACTGCCCAGCCAAAAAAAAGTAACCACTTTGATGTAACTAGGCCAGTAGGTAAGGACTTTCCACTGGATAATAACTGCAGCGATATGTTTTAGCTGAATACACGTTTTTTAACCCTAACTGATGCAGTTAGTCACTTCTTTAATGTTTGTTCTTTCTGATGTAAAGTCAAGGTTGTAACTGTTTGCAGTAAAGTCGTGGGGCGCTGAACTGTTCCTTTGAATCTTTTGAATTTTGATACATGATAGTAATTACTTGTCTTTCAAATTTGAAGGAGGGTGAGCAAGCATCTTGAGGAACATTCATCATGAACTCCTCCAAAAAATATAGTTTATTCAATAATAAATGAATATGTGAATCATAACAGTGATTGACAGCTGATAGGAATAATATGATTGTTAATGGTATCATATTCATACAGACAAACATCGATGAGACAGTTAATTAATGTACTTATTGCAGCAGTCTTCATAGATTTGGTTCCCCTGCTGAAGAGTGAAACAAACTCATTCAGTTATTGTTCAGTTCAAATTTATTAAATTATGTCTGCCACCTTATATATTTATATGTAAGGCTTTACTGATGTGCCACAATAATGTCACCTATGTTATTGAGTTAAAATATTAATTATTATTATAATTTATAATTTATAATTTATTATTATTGTGGCTTTCCAAGTTAACATTGATTGATATGACTGCGATTAAATCAGCATATACTTCTGCCAGGGGATGTCACCCCTCAAAATCTCCTGCCACCCTCTTGCCACCCCATGAATATTTGTCTAGATCCGCCTATGTGTCGAGGGGGAACTAGACACCCCTCTTCCTTTACAGCCATGGTCCGGTCTGACAGCGCTCAGCTGCAGAGAGGAAGAGAAGATCACTGCTTTTTTTTTTTTGACTTGCAAAATTATCTTTTAAATTGACAAACATCATATGTGTAATTCGTGGCACAATTCAAACGGGATCGAAAGATAATCTTTCTCTCTCCATTGACTTCAATACATAATTTTTCCGAAATAAGGTCCCATGGAGGTCCACCGGAAGGGGAGGGACTTCGCCACTTGGCTTCCTGCGCCACTGAGCAGCTCTCATAGGAATGAACGAAGCCCCGCCTCCAACGCTTCTCTCTTCTCTTAATACATCCATGTGTTCTACTGCATGTAAACAACTCGGATATATTTGGAAGTTAAAGCCGAAAACGGACGTATTCCTCCTCTGGGAAAATCGCAGAGGGACCAGTAGTGAAGGTATTGGAGGTTAAACGTGCAGATTTCTTCTCAAATTTTAAGCGAACTTTCCCCAGTCTTGGTCGCCGTAATATTGATGCTCTCTTTGGCCGCGCTACTCTGGTGAGGTACGTATTGTCTTTACACCGTATTTGTTCATTTCTGCATCACATGCATTTAGTGTGGCACGGTGTGTTATTGTCAGCATGTTTGATTTGAGCTTTTGTTGGCAACATTTATTACATTATATATACTTTTGAATACTGCAGACAAGCAGGCTTTTCCTTAGGAGGCCGTTGTATTTCTTTGGGACATGGTTGAGACTTCATAGACAAACTTAACAATGCTGCTACTCCGGTTCACTTCCACAAACATACTACTCTCGCACGCTCTGCACATGCACGAGCCACACACCTACCCCCCTCTCTCTCTTAAAGGGATAGTCGACATACTCTGTATCACCCTACTATTATATCAAAGGTGATTGATACGTGCAAGACAGTGTGTTTATATGGTTCTAAGTTATATCTCAAAGTAGAACGTTTGTGTTGCAACACTTCTGTGGTAAATTTCGATTTGAATTCGGCGGCTTTGTTTTTATTGCCATGCATGTCTGGGCATGTTTTAGTAACTCAGAGAAGCACAGAGGTTTCACGTTCATTTCATGCAATGGCGTTGGTACCATGCATTCTGCATTTTTGTAACGCAAGCTCACTTTAAATGTAGGCTTGTAATAATCAGTGCGGAAAATACCGTGTCACGGCAAAGCACCAGTAGCTATCCCGGGTCTTAGTATGTTAACCTGACTTTCATACAGTTAATAAAGGGTCACTTCAAACATTTTAAAGTAAAATCAATCAAGTTCATTTTCAGAAGTTATTTCATTCATAATCCTGAGAGTTTAGTAGTAGTCTTCCAGTTATATTTTGTTAAGTAATATAAGCCTGTTTCAAATTGTTTGTAATTTAGCAAAGCTTGCCTAATGCAGCTCGGCATCAGCAGTTAGCTCCCTTTTAGTCACATTTCCTTGATGCTCTTTACCTGTTCACTTTTCAACATGGGGAATGGGCTAGAAAATTCCACTTTGCTGAGGTTGTTACCACTTGTGGTAGGAAGTAAAGTCTGTGAAGGAGATGAAGCATGGGCCATATTAAAAGACCTTAAAGAAATTGTGCAGCTGGTGTTGTCGACATATTTCACAGAGGAATCCATCCAGTACATGCAGACTAAAATAAGTGATCACAGGCAGTCTTCAATCTGTCTTTCCAGACTTCAAGCTCAGAGTGCTGGTACCGTAAGCATTTAAGGCCATTTGAGCTGACATCCTCAGACAACTTTTCTGTGCATCCGCTGTCCGAGCTAAATGACACATTAAGTATCACAGCATACAATATGGATGGACATTTCAAGTTGACAATAAATATGTATTTCCATCAGAGACTTGCAGGATTACATGTTTCTAGAAGTGGGGACATACTGTATGTGTCACCACCACCCACCATGACAGGCCAAGCCTAGGAAGACTAAGACTTAATGATTGTTTTGTTTTTTGCGCAGTTTTCATTGGAGTTTTCATTCAAAACTGAACTCTAGACACTGCCTGACTTTTGTGTTGCCAAACTGAATGTTCCTCATATTGCCTCTTTTCTCTTTTTTTTTTAATAACAGGAAATGGCAGCTCAAAACTACGTACTTCATGTCCATACCTCAATGGACATTATCAGGAAGATGACTTTATCTTCAAGTCCAGAATCTGTGGATGAGCTAAAAACCATGATAAAAGAAAAGTTTAAGCTAAACTTTGACTTTAACTTATCATACCAAGATCCAGACTTTGACGGGAGGTTATGTTCCCTTGTAGACATCGAGGAGCTTCCATTAAAGGCTGTATTGCTAGTTATGAAGTCTGAGAGTGATGCCAGTTCCGAAGCATCAGAGGACACAACAATATTGCCCCATGACATAACTCCAGAGAGGGCAGAGGGATGGCCTGCTGTTTTTCCAGTGCCCACGTTTGCCTTGCAGGTAGAACACATACTCGGTGAGGGAAATCTTACATATGAGAGAACAGAGAAAACTCTAAAGATTTCTCGGGGTCAAAAGCACATCATCCTTGAGAACCTTGCAACCAAAATGCATAGCTTCAAGGCATACCCCAATGATAAGGAGGTTTCAATGGTAGCAGAGGCACTGGTCACTAAGCATCCTTGTCTAAAAGAGCCAGGGTCTCAGACAGGATGGTGCGGCTGGAGAAATAGTCTGAAGTTTAAGATGGGAAACTTCCGCACAAAGTTAAGTCGAGCAGGATTTCATGAGGTAGCTGTCAATTCTGGGAAGAGGAGTAGAAACAATCCAGACAAACAATCTCCCCACACTAACATCAAAAGACCAAAGAGGGCAGAGGTGAATTTCTTGCCTAATTTCCCATTAGGTGAAGATGGTACAAGCCTTGAGCGATTGAGACTCCAAATTGTAGATGAAGTTAAGATGAGAGACAAAAACCTTCCCCTGATTGCAAAGTTAATGCAGACTACCTTTGCCCTGCGGCGCAATGAGGTCATCAATGATGGCCTACCTGTTGGCCAGATCCTGGAACGCTGGCCTGCCTTGAAAATAGAGTCACAGGTGAACATCTTTGACTTATTACACATATTTCATTATTTTGTGTGCCTTTGTCATTGATAACTTTGACTTATTACTCAGATTGATCATGTTACGTTTCTGTTCATCTCTGCTGTCTTCAGTCTGCATATGCATTGTACTGGGACTTAAATAGTCCTTTTATATATTTGCAGATTTGTGCCGAGTTTCAGAGGATTGCAAACATCAACCTGAAGAAGCACTTCTATGCTGAGTTGGATCGGCATGCCCCCCGTCTTCAGAGCCTGTTCAGAAAGAAAGCTGCACGCAAAGGGAAAGTAGCTGAAGGTCTGGATCAGCGATTCAGCTCTTATGACCTCCAGGTGAGTCGGTTATGCCTCTTGGTGTTTGATCATTATAAGAGTGGATTCTCTTTGTCAAATGCTCATCTCTTCAGTCATGGAAGGGCCCTTGTTGTGATATAAGTTGTTGTGCTGCTATGCTGTTTAGCATCCAAAGTAAAGCAAATATATGTTCTCCACCCCAGGAGCAAGGCGACGTCCATGTCCTCCGTGCTGCTGTCCTCCGGGCTCTGCCTGCATATCTGCATGAGGATGACTCCAGGTTTCTGAAGCCGTGGCATGTAAGTCAGCATAAGAATTGTTTCAAATGTATGTGACGGATGATCACAAAATACAGTTATTCTTGTTACATTGTTTCAGTAGCTCTAGCGCAGGAAAAAATGTATTTACATTTGTATAGTGAAAGGTTATAATAAACGAAGAATTTAGTTTGGAAAAGAATGAACGGTCCTGGTGTCATCAAAGATGGATTCTGTCAGTATCTAGAGATAGCTATGGCCAGTTAGGGTAACATTTCCCTGTTCTTGTCCCCAGGTGGCACAGTCCGATGAACCGGACATTGATGACATGGCCGTTGGACTTCTCTTGATCAGTGCCAAGTCAGAAAATACCTCGCTCTGCTGCCCAGAGAGGATCGCTGTGGTACTGGAGGGGAACAGAGTGTTCGAACTCCCCCAGTTGGCTGAGGCATTCATCCTGCTTTATGCACTGATCTATGCTCTGAATCTAAGTTACCCAAAAGACTTGGCCAACACCTTTGACTTCACCCAGAAAGTCTTGATGGGCCAGGACAATCGGAAGCTGAGGCCAAGAGTGTTGAGCCTTAAAAATGTCCTGTTGGCAGTGCAGTAATCTCACTCTATGAACAAACAAAGTTGCACTTTAACAGGCACCACATACCGTAGAGCACTGTATTGTATATCGGTTTATTTTACAACAAAGTCTTTTGAATGTTTCAATATTCAACTTGAAGTTTGAATTTGTTACTGTTCAGCTTCAACTTGAAGGAGTGTTTGTAGATGTGTAAATAGTATGGACAACATGTTCCCATACGTTGGTTTATATTTCTATATGTTCCTGTTCTTTATGGTCCATGTGGTAAACTGAGCAGCAGGTCACATTGTGTTTGACTGATGCAAGTGATGGTTCAAAAAGTGGCTCTGGACATTTCTCAAGGCCTGTTTTTAAGGTGTTTTGTTTTTTAAAGTGAACTATTTGTCAAACAATACATATTCTTGTTTGGTAAATAGTTTATGGTTACTTAATAAAACAGTGACCTGTATATAAATTGTCTGTGTTAAAGGTTTTCTTTCTTATTTACTCAAAATGTTTACTTGTCAAGGTTCTTACGGTCATTAAAAACCTGGAAAAGTCATGGAAATTCATAATGCAAATTCCAGGCCCTGGAAAAGTTATGGAAAACAATATTTTTCCCAAAGTTTTGGAAAAGTCATGGAAATGTAACTAAAGTTGCATCAAATATAATTTATATTTTATCTAATCGCCGAAATAGTAATACTATAATGATAATAAATACTGTATAGTAATGAAACGTAAAATGGCATTTAACTGACGAGGTATTTTGCTGGTGAGAGATTTGAGTTGCTTTAGCGTGTAGAAGCTAGTAAGCCTATTTGATTTGTTTTAGATAGGCACAACATGTTTCATATGCAGACCTTATTTTCCTGTTCCATGTTAAAATAAACCATTTTCAGTGGTACCGCTGAGAAAGAGTAATTTGTTTGGTCATGGAAAATTAGGTAAAGGTCATGGAAAAGTCATTGAAAATCATTGGTGAAAAAGTATGAACCCTACTTACAGTTACTACATCATATTTATGTAATCAGTTTTAAAAAATATACATTCAGTTTTGAGTACTACACAAGCAACATTTTCAATACATAGTGGGGTTCATACGGCTACATGTTTTTAAAAGGTAATACAAATATTTAGGTTAACCTTGATTTTTATTTGTACTGTGTTAACAAAATACCTAGTTAAAATAACTTAAGTACTGTTTAACTAAACAGTTAAAAATACGTTTGTGTCACTTGAAATTACTAGTAAATGGTACTCAATCAATACATTTAAAAAACATTTACATAAGTAGTGTTGATGTAAAAATGTCGATGTCATCAGTTGAAGTTGTATTAAGTGGTCAGGTTTTAGTGCTGAAGGTACCTTTGTTTTGGGGTGAAGGAACAGCACCCCCTCCTGACTGATGCTGACCATGCAGGGCGAGGGACAGCCCCGCTGGCTCACCTTCTGGGCCAGGAAGGTGTTAGAGCCAAACAGAGGCATGGCGCTCAGAAACTCTGCAAGACAACCACAATTATTATGAGAGGGAAGGAGAGAAGGAGAGGAGGGGAGAGGAGATACTACCCACCAATAAATTGTATTTTGGCGTTTTGAGGGCTGAGGGAGTGCATGGCAGCGATCTGGCCCTCACAGAAGGTCTGGATCTCAGCAGCTTTGATGCTCAGGCCGTCCAGGGAGGGCAGGTACTCCTTCATCTCCGCTCTTGAAGAGAAAAACAATCAGAAACGTTCAGTATAAAAAGTTAGTCAAGTTAGGTGTTGAGTGATAACAACATAGATACTAAAATAATGCACATGTCACCAGAAGAAAGCAGTATTACTGGGGAGATGATCAGGATAATGTGATGTTAGCGCACTGGGAGACACTGGCTGACCAATGCTGCCAAGTATAATGGAGTGCTTTGTACTTGATGTGAATTCACTTTAGGCAATCATTCACACCTTGTATGCAGTAGCCCAGTGTCAAAAAGGGATTCAACAAATCTGGACTTCCAAAAAGTTGGGAAACTTTAAGTACAGAAATGAAGAAGAATGAAGTGTATAGTGTATTATTTATCTAATTGATGTGTCTTTAAATAAGAGCCATTGGTTACAGCTTAGCATTGTGTTGCAACTTGGTTTTGATTGTGGTACTGTTGACTACTAACAAAATAAAATATTAAAAGTGTGTTATACTGACTTTAAACTCAATATACATAAATGCAACATTACCAGTGCGGTAAAATACACATGATGGATTATGGATTATAGGGTACATAATGTTACCTGGTAAAGGTACGATAGAACTTGATGTAAAGTTAGAGAAAGGAGAAAACAATATGGGAACTGAATTTACACTGCTGATTATTTAAGAGGTACATGTTCTACTATAACATGGTACAAAAGGACCTACTGAACAATAGTCTGACATTTGGGAGGAGTTCTAAGAAAGGTAAATCGAAGAAAGAAGTGTGTACAGCGTACGTGAGAGTGACCGTCCACTCAGCTGAGGCTCTGTTTGGTGTAGCTGTGGCTGACAGAGATGTGTTCTGCTACCATTTGGCATAACGTCTGTTTTGTTGGATTGTAATTGTCTGGAGAATGGTTCAAAATGACCTGTTGAATTTGAAAGTTCAAACATGAGCTATAGCTTAATGGTGGAATGACTCTTTCCCCTGACTACTGCTATCTGTGTTGTATTCTTTTCTGTTGAGCTCTCCAAAATGAATCCATACCTAAACTGATGAGAATAGTGTGTCAGTGTGTGACTCACAGTGAGGGCTCACCCTGCAGACCCTGGCCCAGGTGCTGCAGAGCGGACAGCTGAGCCATCTGCTGCACCGAGGAGGAGGAGGAGAAGCCGTCTGCAGGGGCCAGCAGGAGGTGCCCACTCAGGTAGTCAGCCAGGAGCTTCACACACATACACACACACACACACACACACACACACACACACACACACACACACACACACACACACACACACACACACACACATTAAAATGACACAAGATAGATTCTGGACCAGTGTTCTGCTGCTCCTGTCTGTTCTCACCTGCTGGTAGTGGAACTCCACATAGAGGTCACTGCTGAAGGTCAGAGGGCTCCTCCACATCACTCTCCTCAGGGACAGGAAGATGGAGCCGTCATCCAGCAGGAAGTCGAACAGATACTCTTCAGCATGGAGGGGACGCACCGTCCCATCTGACGGAGGACCAGCAGATAATCTGTCACTTTGACCCTTTCACACACATATGCCATTCTCTGCCTTTAGAGGTCTCTCAATAACAATGAAAAGATGGACGGAGTTTGGTGACACGAAGCAGCGTAGGATCATGGGAGTTCTGCTCCTGGTTACGATTTCCTCAGTGTTCATGGTTTAAGGGTTTTTCACCGTCAATAGTGAATAAGGTGTGACATTATAAATCAAAGTTGTTTCTCTGATGACTTCAGTTCCAGACGTCCTATCATTACAATTCTTCATCAAGTAAACATATAGGTTTAAAAAGCACCCAGATCTAAAAAGTTGATGGTAAAAATATGCCTTAAAGCGGATATAAAGACAGTACATGACTTCTGTTTCTGGTAGACAACGAATATGATGTCATCACAGGAAACATCACCTTCATTTAAATTACACATTTCTCTGTGTATGTGCACAACACAAAACTAATATATATATAAATATATGTATATATAAAACATAGAACTAGTCACTTTCTTTTAGACATTTTAATGCTGCAAAACTAAACATGCTGCCTTTAACTGCATCTTTATAAGAGGTTCCCTCAATGAATAATGTCCATATCTTAAGTGTTGATATTGTGTTCTGTGTATTTTTATTAAGAGTAGGGGTGTACTGTTTTCTGGGGATAAATGGTTTTATTTCTAAATGTGTATGTATTACTTTGGCGTAAAAACATTTGAAAACAAAGTCATCAGTGGGCCTTGGTGTGTCTCCTGACAGTCATCCCTCTTCAGTCCTCCCTGAGACAGCAGAGTGTCTTACCTTGGCGTCGGTTGGCGAGGATGGAGAACTCTTTGATTTCCGTCAGGTTTAAGACTCCCATCTCTTTACAGAAGTCTGTGACTGCTTCTCCTGCCAACTACAGGAAGATACAAAATACCACCAGGAGATATGAATAAATAAAAGAAGACTCTGGTTTGGTTCATACATAAGTAGGCGTATATAAATCTTACACTGAAGCTGCGTATCTTGATGGGGAATTCCACTTCTCCTGGCAGCTGGATGGGAACACGTCGAGAAGTTTTCCCAGCCTGAAGAAAAACAGCGGAAATGTAAACGCCTTGATAATGATGGGATATAACAGTTTATTCGATGTTTTGATTTGCTTCAGTGTGTAGGTAACTTGCCAGAATGGCGTCCATCTCCACATGTGACGGGATGTTACGGCGACCGCCAAAAGTGAGAGAGCGCTGCATGTTCTCCTGACACACACACGCCAGCTCTGAGGACACGGGGTGTTAGGAAGAGCCATTCCATTTATATATCAATTGTAATATACATGTTATATATTGTAGTATAATGTGCACATTTTTACTTTAATGTCTTGTGTTAATATCAATATTTACGTTATATATTATTTTAACTTTTATTGGACATTTTGCTTCACATTCTTATGTTTATATAAAACATTTTATTTTATCTTTGTATTGCACATTCTTTGTAAGACTTCTTATGTTTATATTAATTTATTATACTGTTTCATTTTATTTGAGGTTTTATTGGACATTTTTACTTTAACTTCTTATCTTTGTATAAATATCTTTATTTGCTTTAATTTAAAAAAAGGTGTTGCACATTCTTACTCTAACTTCATATGTTTGTATAAATACTTGTATTATTTTAGTATACTTAGTATAGTATTTTGTCTAAATCGTTTTATTTATTTAATTCTAAATCGAGCAGCTTGCACAAAACCCAAATTCCCCCGGGGTAAATAAAGTATTCTGATTCTGATTCAGATTTTGAATCAGCTGCTTATATCTAGCATTTTATATTATATCATATTTTGATATTACAATAACTGAAATCCAGCACTTAGTGATATCCGTCTGCATGCTTTGTGTTTCTTCTACCTTGGTATGGGTGCTGGTAGTCCTCGGAGATGTCTTGCAGGTGGCGTGTGACAAACGGCTGCAGAGTGTCGGAGCAGGGGAAGAAGCCCGTCATCAGGTTGAGCAGCCGCCAGCCCAGCGTACAGAAAGACCTGGAGACAGACAACAAGGCAATTGAAATCAACCTGATTATAAAAAATTAGATTTCTGCATTTTTGCACACTCAATTCAGGGCCTTAAGATAAGTGGTCAGGAAAGCTGTGATGTTAGAGATGTTAAAGCTATACATATATACAGTAGATGGGAAGTTGGCATTGTTGGCATTGACATTGCAGAATGCTAAGAGTGCGATGCAGAAGATCCAGAAACACTGAATCATCAGAAGAGACTGGATTTTCTGGGAGTGGCCCTAAAGAGACAGCTGCTAAAGTTGTGCGTTTCATTGAGAGGGGGAATACAGGACAGGAGAAACCCGAAATACAAGTATAACTCTAAAGGCAAAAGATGGAGTTCAGTGGCGCAGTGTAAATTACAGATAGTTCAGCCCATCTTTGAACAGAAAACAGTAAAGATGACGGATCAAAAACCAGAAGAATTAGCTTAAAGATGTTCAGAAAAGCTCTGTAGAAGCTCTTTGGCTTCTTCAGGTCCAGGGTTTCACATCCAGGGTTTGGATCTTTTGAAAAGCGTTCATACACAGAAAATGTTACCAAACACTTCAATACATGACACTCACTTGGCTGGGTTTTGGGTGGTTTGCTTGATGACCTGGCAGTAGATTTCATCTCTCAGCATCTCCTTCTCCTTCCCTAACTGAACAGAAACTCTTCTTTAAATATCATCAAGCTTATGGAACTCGAAGACACAGATTAACACGGGGGGGGGGGGCCTCACCAGAAGGATGCGGCTCAGACAGCCTGACTGCGTGTTATCCTTCTTGAACGGCATCCCTCCCATGAACTGCATCAGGTCTGGAGGACAGGGATATGCAGATAGATGAAGAGAGTGAGTACAGTGGTCTCAGTGTGCATGAATGTTTGGATGGTACGTGTGGATGCACTCACTCATGAAGCACTGGACTGATAACTCATTGAGCTCAGGATCATTGTAGAGAATGAGGGACTCCTGGATGGGAACCTGGATGAATAAAAGCAAACACAGTTAGTTGACTTGTTCAGGAACTCTCAGTTACATTAAAATATCAGCATTAACAGTTAGCTGAAAACAAAGGCATGTGTATATATCAGAACAATACAATTCAGAGATCCGCCCAACTCATGATTCTAAATATCCAAGCAAGATTTGTAAGATTGGCTTGTTGGCAGGTTTGCTGATGCATGTAGATGTCAGTGAAAACCTTTTTATACAACTTATTTCTCATGTATTCTGATTTGAAGGTGGTATCAATATATTTTCTGGTCTAAGAATTACATTTGATTTAGTTTAGTTATGTTCAACGTGACATTCTGCTATTAAACCAAATTCCTAATTACACAAGCCGGCCTTCGTCTCGCCCCCGTTGCCAGATATCTGGCAGTGTGTGGAGGCGACGTGGCGGCAGCCATTGAGGACGAAGGCCCCAATAGCAGCCATGGGGGGGGGGCCGACCTCATGTCGAGGGGCGGCCCCCTGCCAGGCGAGTGGGCGCTTCACCCGGAGGTGGTGAAGCAGGTCTGGGTCCAGTTCGGGAGAGCAGAGATGGACCTGTTCGCCAGCCGGCACAACAGCCACTGTGCCCAATGGTTCTCCATGGCTCTGAGCGACGACCCGCCCTTGGGGGTGGACGAGTTCGCACACGAGCCATGGCCAAGGAAGCTGCTATACGCCTTTCCACCGCTGCGTCTCATTCTCCCTCTCCTGGGGAGAGTGAGGCGAGAACGTCTGGCAGTCATCCTAGTGGATCCGGATCGCGTCGGGGTGCCGTGGTACTCAGAGATGACACAGATGAAGGTGGGCCAGCCCTGGGCGATTCCCCAGTTCTGGGGGGGCGATGTCTCAAGAGGCAGGTGCAATCGGGGCGTTACCCACTCTGGGCCGTCCTCTTCAGGCTTGGCTCCTGAGAGGGACAGGCTGAGACAGGGTGGATTGTCTGATAGTGTTATTCAGTCTATCCAAGCAGCTAGAGCAGAATCCACCACAGCCTGTTACAGGCCGAAGTGGCTGGGATTCCAGCGATGGTGTGAGGAGCGGGGAATAGAGCCCCTATCTTGTGAGTTGGGCTCTATTTTGTCCTACTCTCTGGTGGACAGAGGGCTTGCTCATTCCACAGTGAAGGTGTATGCAGCAGCCATCTCGTCCTGCCATGAGGGATTTGACGGCAGGTCAGCCTTCTCTCATCCACTGATGTCGCGGTTTTTACCGGGGGTCAGGAGGCTGCGCCCAGTAGTGCGCGCCTCCGCCCCGCAGTGGGACCTACCGTTGGTGCTCGAGGCTTTGGTCACAGAACCATTTGAGCCTCTGGAGCTCTCCTCCCTGAAAGCACTGTCGTGGAAGACAGCTTTGCTTCTTGCCTTAACGTCAGCCAAGAGAGTGTCCGAGTTAACCGCTCTGTCGGTGCACCCGAGCTGCTTGTTGATTCAGGGTGACCAGAGCGGGGCGACACTCAGACCGAACCCCTCCTTTGTGCCCAAGAGCCTAAGGAGTACGTTCAGGTCGAGGGCTATTCAGCTGGGAGGCTTTAGTCTTCCACCCTGTAGTGGGGCTAGAGAAGCTAAATTGCACCTCCTCTCCCCGGTGCGTGCGCTAGCATGTTATGTGGAGCGCACGGCTGCCTTTAGACACACAGCTGTTTGTGTGCTTTGGGAGCTCTGTCCAAGAAACGCCTGGCAGGCTGGCTCTGCGAGTGCATTGCACATGCCTACGGACAGGCGGGGAGAGCCTGCCCGCGGGGGTCCGTGCAAACTGTACACGGGCTGTGGCTGTGTCAACAGCCTTATTCAACGGTGTGAGTGTAGAGGACATATGCACGGCGGTGGGCATCTGACCCCCTCCCCGGGCGTAATGCGCTTATGTTTTTCCAGGCCCCCTGGAGGGTCCCGGGGGACGTAGTGCGCGCTGGGCTCATACAGGGCTGGAGGGCTCTCCTCGCCTGCCTAGGGGCAGGAGGGGAGAGCCCTCCACACTATAGTCCACACAATCAATCTTTATTTCAGACTCAAGGTCCATATCACATACAAAATGACAAGATACACATCAATACACACACGGGGTCAGTATCTGAGTGTGGGGGACATGGGGCACTCTCCCCGTGCTCCTTAGGGACTCGGGAGAGGTGGTGCACAGTGAGCCCATACGGGACTGGGGACTCTCTCCGTCTGTCTATAGGCAGGGGGGGGGGGGGGAGCCCTCAGCACTGTTTTCCGAGCACACTTTTCGCGAGGTAAGCGCGTCGGAGTGTGCTCTGTCAGCCGCTGCCCAGGCTCCTCCACGGTCACAACCGAGGTAAAGGAGGGTGCGGTGCAGCGGCTGCTAACCAGAAAGCCGGTCAGGGGCAGTGGGATGGAACGGTGTTGTTGGACAACAGCGCGTGTATACATCGGGGCTCTGCCCACTGTACGCATAGAGTCCAGTAGAGGGCGGAGCCTGTGAGAGATATAACGAGGGGTTACGTATGGTAACCCTTGTTATATAAGCACAGGCGGAGCCCTCTACTTGGGGCACTGTCTGTCCTATGCCGTTCGCTGAAGAGAGGTGTAGGATGACAGTCAGGAGGCGAGGCCTCCTTTTATACGGTGAGATGCGCACGCATTCAGGTAGGCCCGCCCCGGGGCCGGCTACGTTTATAGAAGTCTCAGTGGATGAATGGTTGCATGATATGATCAAGGGGTAGTACCCATAGAGTCCAGTAGAGGGCTCCGCCTGTGCTTATATAACAAGGGTTACCATACGTAACCCCTCGTTACTGCACTCTGAGCAGGTTCAAGTCTGCTGTGGTTGAACACATGGATACGGATGTGTCCATGTACAATCCTGGCAGTATGAACAAGAGTAGACCAGGTCATCTGATGTCAAACGGGTCACTCTTACCTCTGTGTGTTTAACCGCCTCTGAAAAATTCCTTCCAGTTGCTGGCAGACCTGTAGTCCCCACTCTTTAATAAAAAGATGATGAGCACAAAATTAGCCATGACGTGATAAAAACCAAACCATCGGACTATAATCGAGAATGGTTCATATTCTTCTGTCGTACCTGAAGTAGTTCATGGCAAACTCAGCCATGCCTGAGAAGATCTCCAGCTCCAGGACCGAGCCCTGCCGGGAGCTCTGGACTGACCTCCGGGCCAGAACCGAGCCCTCTCTGCTGGATGGACCTGGAGGCGGGCCGTTTGATTGACTGACAGGTGCAGCGCCCCTCGTGCTCTTCCTCTTGTCATCTTTGCGGTTGAGGGTCCGACAGTGGTAATCGGGGGCCGCAGATGGCTGGGTCAGGTCCTCTGGGAAAAGCCCAGAGCGCCCTCCCAAGGTGCCAAAACTCCATCCTGGTGGAGCAAAAACAACATTTGAGTTGATAAGGAGATTCTGAAGGCACCAACACCTCTCCTAGATAGGAGCAATGCATACACACTCCATAGTGTTGCATCTTTTGTTGTATTGTGTCTGGTTGTGGCCTTTTAATGTCTCTGCTGTTTTGGCCTTTATTCATCACCACTGTAGGTCCACGTGTAGCTTTGGAGCACTTTTGCATCTCTCTTTAGGTGTTTTTGGTCTCTTTGTAGTCTTTTTGTGTTTCTTTGTTATCATTTTGAGTCTATTCCTGTTTGGTATGTATCTCATTGAATAATGTTTTGCAGGTGGGCATCTAACACTTTTGGCACAGTAACCCATTCTGAAATCAAGCATGCAAAAAAGCTCCCACAAACTCTAATGACCTCACCTGTCTGGAGTCCTTCCATCGGGAGCAGTTTGATGACCTCACCCCTGCTGAAGCTAAGCAGACTCTTGTCATCGGTCACATAACTCTTCAGGGCAACCATATGGCCGGAGTCCTAGAGAGAAACGAAAACATGTCAGGGTGATATGTGGAGTAAAAGTTAGAGAGCTCTATCACCATTGGGGGGTCACATGGCCCAACGATTGTGAAAGATGATGAAAATAATGATGATGCTTCAAGAGCAAAGCAGTACCCTGATGAGCTCCTGGAGGAAGAGCTGGATCATGGCGGTGATCTGTGGAGCTCTGGAGGATTGCAGCACCAACACCTCACTCTTCAGCTCCACCTCCACCCTGTCTGTTCCCCGGAGCTCCACTGACAGCAGCTCTGCAAAACTACAATCATGCGCAGTTAACAATCTGAGGAAGCAACGTGAGCTGAAAGAGACTAACAGATCTAACAGTTCAAGTAGAACTTAGAGAGTGAATAGCAGACAATGCCTGTGACAGTGTTACTACCATCATCACTACTAAGGAAGATTTTGTTGAAAAGCTTTTCACTTTACATTTCACGGCATAACATCATTCTGATTCATTTGGGAATTGTATTCTGGCTGCAATGCATTGGCAAAAGGAGGAGAGGCTACCAGAATAGCAAAACTAAATAAGAAAACTAAAACTAATGTCTTTATTTTCGCTTTAACTTCTTTATTTTACTGTGGCTTTTTACTCAATAAAAATATATACAGGTGCAACTCTGCAAGTCTCCCATCATGGGCTCATAGTAGCTTTCAGGTATCAAGCTGAATTTTGAAATGACAGGACAGTGACACATCACGGGGAAGAGATGTCATATTGTTTAAATATGGGGCTAATGGTACATGTTGTCAGACATTTATAGTGTTAATGAAATGCTTCTAGGGTGGGCAAAATATTTAGCATCACACAGAAATAAAAAACATCCTGTTTTTGACCTGAGACTTAAACCACCTTATGTGGAAACATTGGAAGAAACCAAGAAGAATGTGAAGTGATTTTGTGCTGCGTGTGCACCTGTAGCTCCGGAGCAGGCGGAGGTGTTTGGGGTTGATGCCTGACGCTCTGACCACCTTCAGCAGGCGGATGCCTCGATGAGACACAGCCAACACCTGAGCATCCCCACTCTCCGGCTGCAACACACACACACACAGAAGATGCATGTTAATAGCAGTAAGAGATTAGTGATCCAGCATGAGCTTGTAGAATCTGTTTTATATAATCAAGTCATACTAGTGGGTTACTCATTTAGTTTTGAGGAAAGAGGCCGATCTATTTCTATGACCAATAGTTGTCTTCATTGGCATGTGAGGTATCAGCAGAAAAAGTTCATGGAACCTGGGATTATTTAAAGACTGAGGGGACAGAGGTCAGTAAGAGTTCAACTACGCATGCAGTTTTGAGGAGCATATCAACTCTGAGATTCACTTAGACTGTTGGGACATTACGCTATTGACTGCTTTGTTGCAAGGTAATGTGTCTCTTATAGTGCTGTACAGCAATATCATCTCAGACTTCAACCACCTGTCTGTGTTTTATTGATTCCTCTTTGTCTTATTATTTAATGTTGTGAGTGTTACATCGGATCCACGACAAGCTCCTGGCCTTAATGCTTCAAATAAAACAACCAGTAATCTCCTGTAAATATTGTATTATATTGTCACATTAAAACCATTTTGCCCTTGAATCATTCTGTAGCACAGACGGATTTCCTTATTATATAAGGTTTTGAAAAGTCCATAGCCAAATAAGTGAAATCTTCTGTTTAAGAGTAACACACTCTTATTATAATTATTCTCACAAAATCTATTGGAACCTGTTCAAATAAAAGTATGTTAATCAGTTACATTAAGATTGATTTGTAACCTCACTGTCGATGGCCAAAAGTATTCTATCATTAGAACCTGTTTATGCTCCCTCTAAAGCAAATCATAAATGACAAAAAGGTTTATTATCCAAGCTTCACAGACAGCTATTGTACCAAATGACTTCCTGTAGCTACAGTGCAATGACAATACCGTTTAATCTAATCTAAAGCAATTAAATGCCCATTACATAAATACATAGATCATGGAAATCATTGTATTTTGCAGCAATGATAGATTGAAAGGTATTACTCTGCTGGTAACCAGAGCTTTAGAGATTCAAGTAAGACATTTTAAAATAGGTTCAGTCCATATTTGAAAAACATAGTTGATGCCTTAAAGGGGACCTATCATGCAAAATGCACTTTTGTACGTGTTTTATACATGAATATGTGTCCCCGGTGTTCCAGGGAACTCACCAAGTGTCAGAAAACACAACCCTCTCTATTTTCCTCCATACCCAAATCTCTAAAAAAGGGGCTGCAACGGATCTGATAAAAACTGATCCAGATTTGAACACTGTCCTGACGTCAGGACGGTGGCGCTACGGCTATTGGGCCAACTCCACCAATCAGGAGGAGACAGCCACGGCCATTGCCGTTCGAAAGCGCTGGAGACGCTGTAGTACATATGCCAGGCCTGTAAGTGGCGCTGTAGTCTGCCACAAAAGCAGCGAAGAAGACTTGGTTACCATGGTTACCCTTCTGTTTATTCTCCACTGTGGCTTTTTTTCTCCCTCCCCGAGGCAAGCGTTTGCTCCCGCTGCTTTAATTCAATGCAATCCCTCCCCGTCGAGGCAAGCACTGTAATTCTCTCCGGTTAGTCCACCAGCAGATGACAAACACCCACCTCTCCGCCTCTTCCAAGGAACGAGGGGACCGTGCGGCAGAGTTTCAGTTTCAGTTTGTTTCGCCGGTCAAGATGTTCGTTAAAGTTGAAATCTTCCGGACAAAATTAGAAATGTGCCGGTCAAAGGTCTTCTTTGTTATTTATTGAGCTTTAAAACAAATGAATAACGACTCTATAGGCCTATAATAACACGGAGGACGGAGATGTCTTTTTCTCCCCCTCTTCTGACAGCCCAGCAGCTGATCAGAGCACGTCTCCCCTCTCCTGCAGGGGGGCGTGGTCAGCAGAATCAGACCCGTAGACAGCAAACAGCACATAGAGCGAAATGAGGCATGGCTAAAATGCATGATCTGTTTGGTATTTTGAAAACAGAAACGTATAAATATACCTTATATAGGTATGGCCCTACAATATATCATTTAAATATAGCATGATAGGTTTCCTTTAACCCAGCAGGATGGACATATTCAGAACACTGCTGCCTATCAGAGCTTCTTTTAACATTTGGCATCCAATAGAACTCTAAAAATCACAGCTGTTCTAAAATGTTTACACTGTTTTCCAGTCTCTTGTTGAACATATTTTAAAATAAATCAAATGTATGCTGTTAGCTGTTAGCTGAACCAACTGATGATCTGAAATGATCCCCAACACTAGCCACCTTCAAATCTCAATAAAGACAGAAGCTGTTCTGGGCCAGTGATTGGTTGGATTCCTCTACTGCAATTATTGAACCGTTTTAATCACAATGTATTCTTTATTCTGGTAAAGCTATAGGACAGTGAGATGCTTTACATTCCGGTCTCACCTTCACAGGGAACAGGCGAGTGAAGTAGTTCTCCCAGTTGTCCCGAGCAGCCATCACAATCCTCTTCTTCATGTTGTCGTTCTGGATGGTGCTTATAGTCATTCCTACGTTGAAATTTGCTAGAAGAAATGTGAAAAATTGGATGATGATGAGCAAACTAATGCAGAAACCAATTAGAATTGATACAGTGTATATTCAGTGATCATTTATAACAGCCCCTTGTGAATGCATTTACAAAGCAGTTATCAGTTATAAGACGATGTGTCCCTCTCACCCAGCAGGTCCTTCATCTTCCTCCTCTCCTCTCTGCTGATCCTCACACAGCTGTCCGAGTATGTGTCCTTCATGATCTGAACAAATGTAACAATAATTGCACACTATCAAACAATCCGAGGCTACTGTAGAGAAATCTAATAGGATGGCTTGTATATCAGGTTAAACACGATGGGACACTGACCTGTTCACATAACAGATTGAGGATGTAGGGCCGGTTGAACATCTCTCTGGGGTAAAACACCTGCACACAAACACATGATAGATTTTACTCACAAGATTTCGAGTCCTAGTAGGGCATACAGTATTTGCTGCATTCATGTTGTGTCGAAATAATTGGAAAAAGGACATTTGGGCTTTAATTTTAACTCAGAAACAGTCAGCAATAAAATATAATAAGTCTTCGTGTAGTACCCATGTTGTTTCCACATAACATAAAGCTCATAAACACACGGAAGCTGGAATAATCGTTTTCAAACTTTGGAATATGAACCTTTTGAGGAGTATGCATAATTGGCCTCGGCTGAGGTCTTTGCTCTCCGACTTGGTGTTATGTAAGTAGCCCATAGCTGCTGTTAACAGCTGCCTGCTGCTGGACATGAGTTTAATGAGAGCTGTGATACTGATCCAAAACACCAAAGTTCTGGCCAACAAACTGTAATACACCAACTAAAATTGCCAGTTATGCTAAGGTCAATTTATGGGATTTGTTGACAATAGGAACACATTTTCGAGGACAGATATATAGAAACGGCTCTGGAAAATAAACCTGGAAGTAAGCTTTAAAGGTCCTGTATTATACTATTTTTCAACAATATATTATAGGTCCTATAGATATACAGAACATGTCTCTGAAGTGTTTGGCTGAAACACCAAACAGATCATTGTAGCATCCCATAGTGCTGATTCTGTGTCTGTAGCTTTAAATGCGAATGAGCTGCTGCTGGCCATGCCCCTCTGAGAAGTGATTGGTTTAAAAAAAAAAAAAAAACACACAACGGTGCTCTAGGAGGAGATTCAGGTGATAAGGTGGGCGGGGGCAGCGGTGGTTCTAGCTAATATGGTGCCCTGGGTGGTGCACCTCCCATCGCATTGTTGTTTCACACAACCCAGGCCAGGAGAAAAATAAATCTTTATTTATATTGTATGAATGACTTTGGTGGCATTTCGAGGCGTGAGATACATTTAGCTAACTTTATAAACATCGAAAGTGTTTATTTGATAGAGATAGTGTACCCGCCGCCCCCCTCTCTCTCCCCCATATGAGGCGACCTGAGATCCCCCCCGCCCTTCTTTGAGTGTGAGACCTTCCCTCCCAGCTGCCTGCTGTCATAAGGGCGTCCGCCTTCTACCAACACCAACAACAATACACTATAAGAAATTACGTGCATATTGCGATAGAAAAATGTTTTGACAACCCAATTTGGCAACCGGCCATGTCGCACATATCAATATCAGCCACCGGGCGGGGGTTACCTTGGTTGGTGATTGGCTAATGGTTGCACAACCCAAAAAAACTTTGTGACATCACAAAGTGGCCAAAATCGGATCAGCTGATTTTCAGACAGGTTTTTATCAGAATCAGAATCAGAATCAGAATACCTTTACCTTTATATATAGATGGATCAGGACAACAAGAGAGGGAATATGAAACGTCATCAGCATACAACTTGAGCACACATCCCAATGGGGAAGATGGATCAATGATGCAAAGAGATGAGAGGAACTGCGGAGTTGGTGACAGTTGTCCTCAACAAATACACCTTTCACAACACAGTGTCATTTTTGTGTGTGTGTGTGTGTGTGTGTGTGTGTGCGTGTGTGTGTGTGTGTGTGTGTGTGTGTGTGTGTGTGTGTGTGTGTGTGTGTGTGTGTGTGTGTGTGTGTCTTACTTCTTTGCGCAGGAACAGTTTTCCCGGCACATAGGAGTAGGAGAAGTAAACCCCAGCAGAGAAGCGGTGCAGCTGTGAGCGGATGCCGTCCCCATCTGGCATCACATCTGCAGGATATTCACAGGGGGGGGGGGGGGGGGGTCACTGACTGATGTTAACCTTACATTCTATAACACAGTTTAATGCTAGTTAGCAGCTAGTCAGCTAAAATGCATCATATAAGAGGCCTTTAATATCTGGAGAACATGTAGAGAGCAGCACCCACCGAGAGACGGGGCCGCCATGGGAGGCGGGTCGGGGATGTGCTGAATGTTGAGTGCAGGGCGTGGGGGAGGTGGGGGGGACTCGGGGGGAGCAGGTGGGGGGTTCTTGGCGCTTTGCGAGCCGAACAGGTCCCCCAGGGAGCGCTGCTTCTGCCTCATGCTGTTGGAGATGACACGGGCCTCCCTGATGGAGGGAGGGGAGGGCGGGGGGGACAGGCTCATGGGGGGGGGCAGCTCCCTTTTAGGCTTGACTGGTGGAGGCACCCACTGTCTCTGATAGCAGGAAGATATAGAACATGTGAGGATAGAGCAAACATATATTAAAGATGAAGATACTTATTACGAGACAACATCATAGATAAAACACATTTCAACACGTTTTCAGACTTCCTGACCCCCCTCCCCCCCCCCCCCCCCCCCTGACCTGCTGCTGTGGCACTGGAGCTTTACTTCTGAGTTTGGCCAGAGCTTCCTCTTTGGGGTCATTCTGCTTCTTAAAATTCCGTGCCGGAGGTCTGTGAAGAGAATAAAAACTGTGAATCACCAACATTACACAAGTTATTATTTGTAGTGCATTTTGGTTACTGTGGAACTTCAAGGAGTCCTGGTAATGTCAGGGGCTGAAAGTTGTAAGAAAATGTCATTCAAAGTATTACAAGAGATTAAACATTTATAAATCTGCCGATGAGGAACTGAGCTGCATCTAAGAATTATTTATTGAATTATTGATTATTCTGACGATTGTTTTTTCAATAAATGGATAAACAGATGTGTCAAAAAGAGAGAGAAGCAGCCAATCTCAATATTTCAGAGGCTGAAAACGACATGTTCTGACACTAAAAATTACTGTAGCTACGAATCCATTATCAATATTTTTGTCCATAGACTTATTGTTGCAGCCCTTTCATGAACTGTCAGGAAATCTGTAAAAGTTATTTATATATGTCATACATAATAATCCTACATCATTTGGTAACCACCATAAACAGAGGTTTGTTGAGCTTGTGTCCTACTCTGTGTAAATATTTTACAATATGGGCCCAGCTGCAGTCTCCTGATAACCATAATGTTATCTCCTAACAAGCTCTTTGTGACACCATAGAAGATAAAGAAATACAGAAAGATACAAGGTTCATGTAGCACGGATGATGCAGGATGACATCACCAAAACGCTCCATATATATTTACACTAAACCAGTATGACGTGAAATCACATTCTCAAATCATGAATCTCCTCTTGGATTGTTAGTGTCTATTATTACGTTTTTGCACTCAGAGTTTGCAGTGGCATGTTTGCAGAGTTGCTCAAATGTTGCCAAATTTAGGCCCCGGCCACACGATGACGATAACGGTCATATCCGCTACAGTTCTCTATCAGATAGACGGTTCGGCCACACGAGGCCGACATGGAAACGCAGAAAACGATAACGATAACGGTCCCAAGGTGGGTAGATCTGCAAACGAAACGCTCTGGGGGGGAAAACGGCTCCGTGTTTACGCCTATACGATCATTTCCTGATAACGTTGAAGCAATAGCCCCGCCTCTCCCACCTCTCCTGCTCAGAGATCAGCTGCTGGGCTCTCAGAAGAGGGGGAGGAAAAGAGAGGCTCCGTGTTTTATTCTTATATTATTATATAGAGTCGTTATTCATTTGTTTTAAAGCTCAATAAATAACAAAGAAGACCTTTGACCGGCACTTTTCTAATTTTGTCCGGAAGATTTCAACTTTAACGGACATGTTGAACGGCGAAAAAAAATCTAACTGAAACTCTGCTGCACGGTCCCCTCGATCCTTGGAAGAGGCGGAGAGGTGGGTGTTTGTCATCTGCTGGTGGACTACCGGAGAGAATTACAGCAGGAGCAAACGCTTGCCTCGGGGAGGGAGAGCCAGAGCGTCCACAGCGGAGAATAAACAGAAGGGCAACCATGGCAACCATGGCAACCATGCGCGGGAAGTCTTCTTCGCTGCTTTTGTGGTAGGAGTACAGCGCCACTTACAGGCCTGGCATATGTACTACAGCGTCTCCAGTGCTTTCGAGCGGTCTTGTGTGAACGGACACGTTTCTGGTGCCTGTTGCGTGTGGACGGAAGACTTTTTTGATAACGATTGCGGTCAGTTTGCGTTATCGTCCTCGTGTGGCTCCAGCCTCAACAAACACACAAAAGTTCAAAAGGTCAGACAGTATGCCTTCTGATGTTTCTTGAGCAAAGCCTGATGTGACACCCATTCAACATGTGGGACAAAAGGGATCAATCAGCATCCAGCAGGATATTAGGTCAGATCAAACTTTGTAGGAGAGAGACTGACCTGACGGGCTCGAAGGGTTTGGCCTCTGGTTCGGGTCGGCTGTTGTACATTTTGATGATTTCCCGGATGTTGGAGGTGGGTTCAGGCTTAGGCCTAGCTAGAGGAGCTGGGGTGGGTGTTTCTTTTGGGGGGTCCGCTTTTGCGACCGGAGGGGTGTCGAGACGCTTCACTGTGGGAGATATGATATATAGGATTCAGAAGCCAACAGAAAGCAGGGACAGCTCTCCTCAATATGTCTACATTCTACTAAATGTTATCGTGTCCATTGAACTTGTTTCATCTTATTACCTGCAGGCTTTGGTGCTGAAGGGGGGGGTGATGGTTGTGGCGGTGATGGGGGGCGCTGCTGCCGCCTGGATGTGCTGGGGGGGGGTGAACGAGGCTTTGGGATTTCTTCATAGGGCTGATCACCTGGAGGACAGCAGAGAATGGAGGATATACACAAAATAATTGCATTTATATTCTTTCAGATATCGTAGAAAGTCTCCTGGATTATAGGACACTTAATAAGTGTGTCCTTATTTTAATTGATTTACTTTTATTTACATTTTTTGAATAAGGGGCAGGTCCAATACGATTTTATTCTCCCTGCTCCTGTCCATCGTGGGCTACAAAAACTGCATAAAGTGTACATCTTTTGTTTTTTAATAATTGCCATTAGTGGAATAAACTAATACATAAATAAATAAATAAGTGTTTGTGTTTTATGACAGGATGAACACAAATCTCTTCCACTATGATGTTCGACTCTTCTCAAAGTCAGATCCACAAGAAGAGATACATCAGAGTTTGTGTGGGTGTGACAGAAAATGTGCCAGTTTGAAAGATAGTTCAGTAAAAAGCAGAAAAAGAAGCTCCAGGTGTTTGTACAGGTCGCTCAGCTCCAGGTGTGTGTACAGGTCGCTCAGCTCCAGGTGTGTGTACAGGTCGCTCAGCTCCAGGTGTTTGTATAGGTTGCTCAGCTCCACTCACCGATCTTCTGGAAGTACCTCCTCTTGTCTCTGAAGGACTGCAGGTCCTCTGGCTCTGGGGGGTCCACCACTCGCTCTGGCTGGAGAACACATGGCACACAACGTGTTAACACATGGGGGGAGACAGTGTTGGAAGAAGTTCTCAGATCCTTTACTTAAGTTAAAGTACAAATACTATGGTCTTAAAATCATCCACTACAAGTTATGTCCTGAATTCTAAATGTTACTTAAGTAAAGTACAAAAGTATTAGCATCAAAATATAGTACAAAAAGTTAGTACTCACTCTGCATAATGGTTCATTACAGAATAATATCAAGTACAGTCATATTATCAGCTAAATGTACTTGTTGTGAAAAAGTAGATGTAGATACTTGAACTACTCTTAGCATACATTACTGCATTATAGAATTAGAATGATATCAGTATATCATGTGTATAATATATAAATAGTAACTGTGAGTGTTAAATAAATAAGGTGGAGTAAAAAGTACAATATTTGCCTCTGAAATTAAGCGGAATAGAATTATAAAGTGGCATTAAATGGAAATACTCAAGTAAAGTACAAATATGTCAAAAAGGTCCTAAAGTACAATACTTAAAGGGCCCATGTCATGCTTTTCCGGTTATTACCCGTCCCCTTGTGTGTTATGAAGGTTTTTATGCATGTAAACGGTGTGCAGACTCAAAACCCTCAAATACCTCCCCAAATGCCTCGTTGGAGATACGTCACTGCCCATTTGAGTCTTCCATTTAGTTCCGGGTACGGCATGATGTCATGCGGTACCCGGAACGAAATGGACCAATCCCGAAGAGCTATGGCCACACCCAGCGGCGCTGGCCGCACCCTCTGCCAGCCTAACATTTACTGTTGGAAGCTCTGGTTCAGTTCACAATCGATCCAGTCATGCCAATGCCAAGGACCTGTTTCCTGAAATGTGAGGAGAAATCTGAGCTGTTTGTCCTACCGACGGAAGAACCACGACGAAGTCAGTGGTTGAAAATTTCTGTTTAACACTGTTCCTTCAGAGGTTCGAAGAAAGTTACTGTGTGCGCGGCATTTCACAGACGAAAGCTTCCAAAACATTGCCCAGTTTGAGGCCGGATATGCACAGCATTTGAAACTGAAGGACGATGCTATTCCTAGTTTGTTTGGACCGTTTTGAGCAGGGGAAGATTCGGGTACACAACCTGTAAGTTTGCATTGTTATTTGTGTATTTATCAAACAAGGTATCTACCACGACTGTTTAAATGTGTAAACGTGTGTCGGACTGCTAGCGTTTCCATATATCAACTCTAATATCAGCAGATGGCCTTACATACATGTATCTCATAGCAGGAGAATGTCTGCATTCACACACGAAATACGCATAGACAGTATACTCCGGGTGATTTACCGTACGGTCAGTCGCGAAACGTAATTACATTATAGCTGACGTTCCTAGCGTGTATGCTACCGAGCTAACCAACGGAGCTAGACATGGGTTTGCTCGGGAAAACACTTGACACAGTGCTTACTGGGCTAACGACGTTGCTAACGTTTAAATATATCAACTACAATGTCAGCAGATGGCCTTACATGTTTGTCATGGCAGGAGAATGTCTGCATTCACACACGGAATACTCATACAGTATACTCCGGGTGATTTACCGTACGGTCAGTACATTACAGTTGGCTAGCTAACGAGGCTAGCTATACATGCTAGCGGAAAACATCGTATTCATGCCAGTTACAATGAATGACCGAACGTAGCAGACTACCCGTATAAGATTGCAATTATAAACACGTTATTGCTAGCCTAATATGAACCACTAGCTTTTGTTCATAGTAGTTTTATTACACTACATTATAGTTGCCGTTCCTCCGAGCTAACGTTCATATCGTGTTTGCTACCAAGGTAAACAAGAAAGCTAGGTTAGCATATTAGCTGGCAAGCTTACTGTGTTGATTAGATAGATGGATTAGATAGATCCACACTCCTACCACAACTACTACTAACGAATCTAAAACAACTAAGTTTCTCTAATATTTTGTGATTTGCATTTGATTTCGTCCAGCCAGATCAGGAAACTCCTGGCGTATCTGGTGGACAACACACACACGGGATGACCCACTCTGATGCCTCATCCTAAAAAGCCCCGGCAGCCGCTTACAAAGCTGCGATAGGCAAGATGCCGAAAACGCCTATAAGGGGAGGAATGGATGATATACAGTGTATATATGTATATTTACGCATGTTCATTTTGTACATTTCTAAAAATAAAGTTTGATGGAAATACTTAGTAGGCCTATCCTTTCTTCCCTGAATTATTTGCTCCTATAACATATCATTCATATATGGCAAACCATGATTTGATTTCTCATCAAACAGTAGTAGTTTATTACAGGTAAAAATAACTTACTCTTCTATAACAACAGTTGTAGGTACAGTTCGGTTAGTTAGCGTATAAAATATACCGCTGTACCGACGCCATTATAAGACTGATGTTCCGAGAGCGAGCCGAAAAAAGCACTGTTAGACATGGGCGAAGCCTCTCTGGTGGTTGACTAATCAGAACAGAGTGGCCGAGCTGACCAATCGGAGCACACTAGGCTCACAGGGAGGGGGGGGCAAGAGCTCCAACGAGTCGTTTAGTGGAGAGAGTGAATACTGCTGAATACACATACTTTACAGAGATGCTGTATGCGAAACCAATGTGAGTTTGGAATATTGCACAGTATAAATCTATTTTAGTATACCTCAACAATGTAATTATGATCAGTGGAAATGGCCATGACATGGGCCCTTTAAGTAACGGTACTTGTTACATTCCACCACTGCCCACTAATAGCACTGCCTCACATTAAGAGAGTTAAACAATAAGGTTGCAGATTTACTTTCTTTCTGTACTGTCAACAAATATAATGTGCAGAGCCAAAAGAACAACACATGTTTCTAAAAAATATATACTGTAGCGAGAATATATACACCGAAGTATATTTTGACTCAATCTCACATACGCCATCTTGCAGATACTTGAGTAGGTGTACTAGAGCAGTAGCAAACCGAATTTGACATCTCCCAGCTTAGATACCAACAATGTAAGAGTTAAGGAGACTCCTCACCTTATCGAGTGTCTACGCTGGTCATCTGACTTAGTGATGGTTATTCACAGATTGATGTAGCTGCCTTTAATTGTATTTTTAGAAGGGGCAAATTGTGTGTAGACATATTTAATTGATTACTGAAAAGTTATAAACGAGTGCGTTAAAGTTAAGGTTATGTCAGGCTTCATGTCTCATCCATCCTAAATTGTTTACGTTTACGTTTACGTAATAAATAATGCAGTATATATCTCTTTGGTTTTAGGATAAGAACCTGGGCTAGGGCTAGGTCTTTCAGCAGAGGTGTAAAGTAACTAAGTACATTTATTCAAGTACTGTACTGAAGTACAATGTTTAGGTATTTGTACTTTACTTGAGTATTTTCATTTTCTGCTACTTTGTACTTCTACACCACTACAATTCAGAGATACATGGTGTACTTTTACTCCACTACATGTATTTAATACCTTTACAGATGTGGATGAATGATGTGAAATATAATCAAGTGTTAAATCAGACTTTAGTTCCACCTGGAGTAAATTCACAAGCTACCCTGCAGTATACAAAGTCATTCAGACTAGCTGCACCTTTACCAGCTTTGAGAACACTTTAATGATCAATCATTATAAAACATATCATATATATTATTCTGAAATGGACCAATCACTACTTTTACTTTTGGTACTTTAACTATATTTTGATGCTTTTACTTGAGTAATGCAGGACTTTTACTTGTAACTTGTATTCATACATTATGGTACTTCTACTTCTACTTAAGCACGAGATCTGAGTACTTCTCCCACTCTGTCTTTCAGTGAGGTGAGGCTCGTGGTAGAGGTCTTCAGAGGACCAAACTGTTTTTCCCAAATGGAAATCCCTGGCATCTTTTATTTGAAAGCTGAGACCCAGACCCACACAGACTCGAGGAGTGTGGGACCCCCACCAGGCTGGACTGGAAGGCACAGCTCAACACATTCACAGCTGATTAACCCACCTCTGGTACAGGCTGCTTGCGCCTGGGGGGGGGTTTGAAGGCTTTGGGCCGTGCAGGTGGGGGTGAGGGAGATCGAGGGGGAGGAGAGGGTGAGTCGGAGCGTCGCTGGGACTGACGTTTCCAATGCTTCTCCTTCTCCTTCTCCTTCTGCTTCCTCTGCTGCTCCTGGGTCTGCTGCTGAGACAGAGTCATGGCCTGCATGGTCATCTGCTGCGCCTGAGGAGGAGGAGGAGGAGGAGAAGGAGGGGGAGGAGGAGGAGGAGAAGGAGGGGGAGAAGGAGGGGGAGAGGAGGTGGAGGAGAAGAACAAGGGTTGGAGAGGAGGAGGAGGAGGAGGAGGAGGGGGAGAGGAGGAGAAGGAGGGGGAGAGGAGGTGGAGGAGAAGAACAAGGGTTGGAGAGGAGGAGGAGGAGGAGAGGAGGAGGAGGAGGAGAGGAGGAGGAGGAAGAAGACAAGAGTTGGAGAGGAGGTCAGAGAAGGAGCAAGGAAAGGGAGAGTGTTGTAACAATAGTATCGTGTGCCTGTGCTCACCATGAGGAAGGCCTGCTGGTTGATGAGGGCCTGCTGAGAAGCTGCCATCTGCAGGGGGTCAGCCACAGGGGCCCCATGCATCATGGCTGGGTAGAGGGGACATGACAAACTGTTATTCAGGTAGGAATCAGATGGATTTAAAGGTCACTTATTATGCAAAAAACACTTCTTCATGTCTCTTCTACATCAACATGTGTCCCCTCTTCTTCATGTCTCTTCTACATCAACATGTGTCCCCTCTTCTTCATGTCTCTTCTACATCAACATGTGTCCCCTCTTCTTCATGTCTCTTCTACATCAACATGTGTCCCCTCTTCTTCATGTCTCTTCTACATCAACATGTGTCCCCTCTTCTTCATGTCTCTTCTACATCAACATGTGTCCCCTCTTCTCCATGTCTCTTCTACATCAACATGTGTCCCCTCTTCTTCATGTCTCTTCTATATCAACATGTGTCCCCTCTTCTTCATGTCTCTTCTACATCAACATGTGTCCCCTCTTCTTCATGTCTCTTCTACATCAACATGTGTCCCCTCTTCTTCATGTCTCTTTTACATCAACATGTGTCCCCTCTTCTTCATGTCTCTTCTACATCAACATGTGTCCCCTCTTCTTCATGTCTCTTCTACATCAACATGTGTCCCCTCTTCTTCATGTCTCTTCTACATCAACATGTGTCCCCTCTTCTTCATGTCTCTTCTACATCAACATGTGTCCCCTCTTCTTCATGTCTCTTCTACATCAACATGTGTAAAGAGACTCTGAAAGTTTCAGGAACAAAGATTCTCTCTCTTTTTGTCCTGATCCATTTCTATAAAAACCTGTCTGAAAATGAGCTGATCAGATCACTTTATGATGTCATCATAACGATGTTTTGGCTTGTGTAACCATTAGCCAATCACCAACCAAGGTAACCCCGCCCCCCCACCCCCCCCTTATCACCTGAATCTCCTCCTAGAGCACCAGTATTCTTTTTAACAGACAGAGAATCAGCGCTTTTGAAACAGGGCTGAAACAGAGGGGATTATGGGAAGCTACAATGATGTGTTTGGTATTTGGTATTATATACATATATATGTGTATATATATATATATATATATATATATATATATATATATATATATATATATATATATATATATATATAATGCCTTTTAACAGGCTGCTGTAACAAAAAAACATCCGAATATAGGTACAATAAAGTATATCTAATAAACAGTTTTGAGGGGTGGGGGATTTAATTTCCATAATGTCTATCAAATATATATATATACAGTATATAATATATACCTATATCAAATGTATTTGTCCAGAACAGCTTTGTTAAAATATATGTTTGGAGCCAGTGGTCCTTTTTCTGTATTTTCCAGTTTATTGTGATCGAATGTGTTGAAAGTGTTTTTCAATTAATAATTTTTCTTTCATTTTGATGGGATTATGTAAACTTGACGTAATATTTACAGTTGTATTCTCATTTACTCAAGTACTTGAATGAAAGGTGTGTGTATTACCTGGCATTGTCATGGTTGGCATCATGGGAGCCCCATAGCTCTGAATGGAAGGGTTAACTGGTGTTTGTGAGCAGAGGCAACAAAGAAACATAGTTTAGAAAACTCATGCAGTCACTTTTCTGCCACTCAAAAGGATTCAAAGCTTGAAGACTCCGATAGGACACAAAAAGTGTCATTCTTCAAATCAATCTTCAAACTTACCCATAGGATAAGTTGGCATTGTCATGGGTATACCTGAAAAACAGAATGATCCGTTATAAATACAGTTTGCAGAGACACATGAATCCCAAATGAGACTTCAAATCTGATTATTTGACAAACAGAGGAAAACGTTTTTATAAGTGAAACTACCAGCGTCAAACTCTGTTCTATCTCACACAGGCTCCGCCCTCTACTGGACTCTATGGGTACTACTCTCATCAATGATACGCGAGCGTTCACACCAAGCGGCAAACTCTGGGGCAGAGCCGGGAAGCCCATAAGGAAGTGCCACAAACTGCAGTTCATCTATTGGCCGATAGGGGATGGCTGCAGAAAGGAGCAATTTCTATAGACCCCCATGTTAAAATGCAAGCAAATGGAGTTGCCACTGCAGGAAACCCGTGCCTGTCACTCATGCCCGGCTTAATAGCGGGCGCCGATCCCCACCAGCTCTGTTTCGAGTGCCTGGGACCAGGCCACGCCGAAGACGAGCTCGAGATGGTGGACGTGGGAGACCAGGATATGGCCGAGGCGACGCCACCAACGTTCGCCATCCTAGCCGTGCGGGTTATGGCTCAGTTTGCTGAGGAGGAAGAAGATGACTTTGTCCCCCCACCACTGCCGCTGAAGCCGGCCGCCTCCGCCAGGGGTTTTGCGGTCCGGCCCGCCCGGCGCAACCAGCTTTCGTCTCGCCCCCGTTGCCAGATATCTGGCAGTGTGTGGAGGCGTCGTGGCAACAGCCACTGAAAACGAGAGCTCCGGTGGCAGGAATGGTAGGTATTCTGAGGGTGCGGGGCCGCACGGAGAACCTCTGCCCCCGCTGCCGCATGACAGGGAAAGCGCTGGAATATTTTGATAGAATATTCCGGCTTGGAGCGGATGGCCGCGGCTGCAAATGACACAGATGTGTTGGGCGTCTCGCTGATTACTCCTCCGCAAGATGCCCCCACCTCACCGGATCAGAGCGATTATTTGGACCGCAACATCAGCCAAATTAATAATCTGATCCATGGTGTGGCAGCCACTGCTGGCCGGGTGATGTCCCTGGCCACAGTGGACGCCACGGCTGGCTGGGACTCCCGGCATTCTCCAGAGAGACCTGAATCAGCTCATTGCCTGCAAAAAGTTCCATATGTTAACCATAAAACAATTACGGGAACTGGAGCAGCCGGGCGATTGGTTCACAACCATCGACCTGAAGGACGCTTACTTTCATGTCAAAATTGCTCCAAAGCACAGAAAGTATTTGCGTTTTGCCTTCCAGGGGATAGCCTACGAGTACAACAGACTACCGTTTGGCTACTCCCGGTCCCCACGCATGTTCAGTGTACGCCCCCATTGAGAGCGAGGTGTACGCCCACATCGAGGGAGAGGTGTATGCCCCCATCGAGAAAGAGGGCAGGCTACGTGCCACTCTGTCAGGGAACAGACAGACGTCCCTACTTCAGGCAGTTTTCAGACTGTGACGGGGGGCGACGGTAACAGCCCTGACCATCATGCAGACCTTGGGTCTCATGGCGGCTGCTCACCACGTGCATCGCCTACAGAGGTGGTTTGTCAGCCTTCGTTTAGATCCCAAGAGGCACAAACGACGTCTGGTGACCATCCCCCCCTTCAGTTGAAGGCAACCTTGGATAATGGGGGTCCCCAAAGCATTTACTGAAGGGGAGGGACCTGCCTAGAGATAGCTATAGGTGGTGGCTGGCCTCTGACAGAGACCCGGCACATCAACCTTCTCGAGCTACAGGCAGTAGTACTGGTCCTACAGCACTTCAAACCCTTACCACAGGGAAAACATGTGCTTGTGAGGAGCGACAACCGCACCACAGTGGCTTACATCAACAGGCAGGACGGAGTCAGCTCCGCCGCCTTGTTGAGCGCAGCGGAGAACCTGTGGTTGTGGGCCTCAGAGAATGTTTTTATCTCTAAAGGCCCCCCACATTCCGGGACTGGAGAACAGTGGGGCCGGCCTCATGTCAAGAGGCGGGCCCCTGCCAGATGAATGGTGGTTCTCCCTGGCTCGGCAGGACAATCCACCCTTCGGGGTGGACACGTTTGCACACGAGCCATGGCCAAGATAGCTGCTCTACGCCTTTCCACCGCTGCGTCTCATTCTGAGTACAACAGACTATCGTTCGACTACTCCCTGTCCCCACGCACGTTCAGCAAATGTGTGGCCACAGCGCTTCAGCCGCTTCGCGACCATGGCATGAGGGTTTTATATTATCTCAACGACCTCATAGTCATGGCCAGGTCCAGGGAATTTGTAAATGTTCCACACAGCCCAATTGATCTTACACCTAACCAAGTTGGGGGTTTGCGGTCAATTCGAAGAAGAGCAGTCCCATACCTCACCAGCAGGTGGGGTATCTGGGGAGTTTGCTCAATGCAGCCCCCATCGAGAGCGAGGGGTACGCCTCCATCGAGAGAGAGGTGTATGCCCCATCGAGAAGGAGGGCAGGCTACGTGCCACTCTGTCAGCGAACAGACAGACGTCCCTGCTTCAGGCAGCTTGCAGACTGAACGTTGGTGCGAGGAAAGGAGTCTAGAGCCTCTGTCCGGTACATTGGGCTCTATTCTATTCTAGCTATAGCTACTGGTGGACAAGGGGCTTGCTCATGCCACAGTCAAGGTGTATGCAGCAGCCATCTCGTCCTGTCATGAGGGATTTGGCGGCAGACCAGTCTTTAGTCAACCGCTTATGAAGCGTTTTTTGCAGGGGATCAGGAGACAGCGCCCAGTGGTGCATGTCTCCACCCCGCAATGAGAACTGCCATTGGTGCTCGAGGCTTTGGTTACAGAACCGTTTGAGCCTCTGGAGCTCTCCTCCCTGAAGGCGCTATCATTGAGAGAGAGAGAGAGAAGCAAAAAGAAACAGCTTTGCTGCTTGCTTTGACTTCTGCCAAGAGAGTATGCAAACTGACCGCTCTATCGGTGCACCCGAGTTGCCTTCTGGTTCGTGTTGACCGTAGCGGGGCGACACTCAGACCGAACCCCTCCTCTGTTCCCAAGAACCTAAGGAGTTCTTCCAGGTCGAGGGTTATACAGCTAGACGGCCACTGAGGTCCATTCACACTCTACACGAGGTATGGCTGTGTAGACAGCCTTGTTCGACGGCGTGAGTGTGGAAGACATAGTACACTTACGTTTTCCCATGCTCCTTAGGGACCTGGAAACGGGGTGCGCAGTATGTAGACACTTGCGCTGGCACCTGCAGGGCGGAGCTATGGGCTTATTCAGATCGATTAAGCTCTACCCAGCCAGGTAAGCTGCGGCCCCGACTTCTCCACGGTCACGACCGGGTGATGGGAAGTTGGGGTGCGATGGCTGTCAACCAAAGGCCGGTCAGGGGCAGTGTGGTGGGTCGATGTTGTGGGGCGACAGGGCGTTTATTCATCGGGGCTCCACCCACTGTACCCATAGAGTCCAGTAGAGGGCGGAGCCTGTGTGAGATAGAACGATAGGTTACGTATTGTAACCCTAGTTCTATAAACACAGGCGGAGCCCTCTACCTAGGGGCCCTGTCTTTCCTATGCCGCTCGCTGAAGAGGATGTAGGATGACAGTCAGGAGGTGTAGCTGCCTTATATACTGTGAGCCTGCGTGCACATTCAGGTAGGCTCGCCCCGATTGGCCGGCTACGTTTATACAAATTCAGTGTGTGAACGCTCGTGTATCATTGATGAGAATAGTACCCATAGAGTCCAGTAGAGGGCTCCGCCTGTGTTTCTTTGCACCTGCAGTATTATTGCTACTCTTTCAATATGGCTACTTAATGTTCTAGGTTGTATACCGTTTCTCTACAGTACGCAGAGTGAGTATGATCCACACCGTGTGGATATAATGTGAAGAATAATACGGTTTTCCACTGGTTCCATCCCCTCTGCAGTCAGCATGTACCTGTGTCCTGTGTACACACACTTCACCCCAAATTGCTCCAGTGGGGATTGCCCACAGAATGTATGTAGAAGCGTCTAACAATTGACCTGTAATGTGATGTTTTCCTACCAGCTCCATACATGGGTCCAATCCCTCCTCCTCCTTTCATCCTGCGGTTCAGCATGGCTACTCTTTCCATGTCCTACACACACACACACACACATAGTGACTGTAGTTACTGGAAAGAAAGCAGGAAACAGAACCCAGTGACTTCAGACTTCACACGCTCAGTAATAAGATACAGCCAGACACACGATCCCCCCTGAGTATAAAACGTAACACTCTCTGGAGAATCTAACGTAATTATAACATTTACATTAGTTACAGTTTGTGACAGACAGACAGACACACAGACACACAGACACACAGACACACACACACACACACACACACACACACACACACACACACACACACACACACACACACACACACACACACACACACACACACACACACACAGACAGACAGACAGACAGACAGACAGACAGACACAGACAGACAGACACAGTCTGATGACCACTAACCGGAGGTCCTTGGTCCAGTACAGGGTCAAACAGGTCATCAACGTAAGCATCCATCTGTCTTCCACGGCCTGCAGACAGGTGGAGAGAGATCAGAAGGTAAGACAGAAAAAAAAAACTGAACTCAACACTACTGTTTATGTGCCCTATCACCTTCAACTAAACACATAACATATATCTATATCGCAATATGCACTGTATGAACACGATATAAACGTAACGATTTAAAAGGTATTAAATCTTGTTTTTGATCCAGTAGCATAATGATCAGTCTGAATATCCATTTGGTTTCAGTCCATCCATTCAGCTGACCTCATGTTCAGGTTAGCCATGCTTCTGGCTCTCTTTGAATCAGAAAGCTGTTTCAGCACACAAGCTGTGATAAAGCCACAGGGCACTGATCTACTGTACACTGGAGTATAGTACGTGTACTAATGACATGTGGGGGCCATTGATAACATCTTTGATATTCCACAAGGGCTTGAGTTTGCCTGAAACAACTAAACTGTGCAAAGTGTTATCTGAAAACTTCTAAAGCAAAAGAACAGAATGGCCATACTTTTAGCCATCATTTGTTCTGAAGCATGTTATCCCTCTTACCTTCCTGTGGATAATCTCTCCCCCAGGAGGTCCCCTCAAAAGCAGGCAGCCCAGGAGCTTGCATCGGGGGTGCTGGTGGAATAAAGTCATCCAGGTCTGTAGCTGGCATCCTGCAGGGGGGGGGGGGGGGGGAGAGCAGCACATTACGAGAACACACTCTTTAAAAAAAACCCGGATAAACCCAAAAACCATCTGTTAGTTCAGTCTCTACCTGTCCCCCTGGCTGCTGAACAGGTAGTCGGAGTGTGTAGAGGAGGGCGTCCCTGGGGGGGGCAGCACCTCAGCTTCAGCTCCAGCCAGGAGATCCAGGACGAAGTCTGAGCCGGCCAGATCTGACCAGCCTTCATCCGTCAGGAGAGACACCGACCAGCCCTGCACTGCCTCCGACACGCCTCTGAGAACAGCACGGGGGGGGGGGTTACACCACACAGAGGAGGATGAACAGGGAATAATATACATATAAATCTTAAAGGTCCCATGTCATGCTTTTCTGGTTATTACCCGTCCCCTTGTGTGTTATGTAGCTTTTTCTGCATGTAAACGGTCTGCAAAGTCACAAACCCTCAAAGTACACCCTGTAGCGAGTAAAACTCTAGAACGCCTCGTTGGAGATTTTTATTTTTCAATTTTTTTCTTCCTGAGTATAGTGACGTAACGATACCCAGGTCCAAATGGACCAATGCGCTGTCTCGCAGACCCCACGCAGCAACCAGGAAACGACACCAGTAACCCAGCTCACACTGTCCGCTCCTCGCACCTCAAAGGGCGGAGCAGCGAGCCCCGCAACGTCCCGCCAACACGGCACCCAGACCCCACGCAGCATTCTCATCTGTTTGTCATTACTGGTGTCATTTCCTGGTTGCTAACAAACGCCATTGTAACACATAATCACTGATGTTCAGCTATAACGGTGGTGGACTCATCAGAACAGAGTGGGCGAGCTGACCAATCAGAGCACAGTGGGCTCATAGGGAGGGGGGGCAGGAGCTCCAACAAGCCATGTAGGACAGAGAGTGAATACACATACTATACAGAGATGCTGTATGAGAAACCAATGTGAGTTTGGAACATTGCATAATGTAAATCTATTCTAGTAGACCTCAACAATGGAATTATGATCCGTAGAAATGGCCATGTCATGGGACCTTTAAATGGAGGTAGATCCACTGCTTGTTCAGAAGTACCTATAATGCAGGAGCCATGCAGCCAGCTCTTCTCCTGTGGTCCATGACTCCACTTCAGTGGTCAGCTTCTCATCTGAAAACAACAAAGCTTGTTTAGGTTCACACTGTGCTGCCGATATCATGTGTCAGGTTTCATGATGCTAATGTTTTCTTTCTTACCGTTGTAGGTGTGTACATCCAGCAGCATGGTGCCTTTCCTCTGGTTGGCAGTCCACTCCAGCTGGGTGGGGGGGTAGACGCGGGCAGCAGGGGCCGGGAGCTGCAGAGAGGTCAGCAGCTTGTGTTGGCACAGAGAGCGGTACTCCCCCGGACCGTGGTCAGAAACATACCTGAAGAGAGAGAGAGCAGACTGAGTCATGGCAGACACAGTGTTTCAAAGTGGTTTAAGGAATGGCATGGTCAAAAAGAGAACATCCATAACATGATTTAAAAGGTTTCTACAAAATCCAGTGCAAGAGTCAGACTAACAATAGAAGAGACTGCATTTTGAAAAGCACTAGTCACTTTCAAGAATCTCAACATTTTCAAAGTTAAAGGCGAACATGTTCAGCAAATCATCATCATAATCATTTCCTGTTTGCAAAGCAGACCTGGAGCAACATTAGCATCACTGTCACTTTAAACTGGGTGTCCATCAACTCCTGAGAAATATCTGTCTCTTTAACCAAAGTTTAAATGCTCAACTATCTTCGTGGGCGAGTGACTGTGTGTCGCTGCTGTTGTGCTCTGGGTTTATGAAAGCTGTTTTGCAGAAAGCAAAATCGTAAAAGTGCTTATCAGTTGAAAGAAACTAAAAAGGCCCCACAGAGCTTTGTGAAACGGCATACTGTAAATGATTGCTATAAAAGAACCCTTTCACATTAAACTAAGTCGTTCCATTGTTCATCTACTGTAAATGTATTAATAAGTGCAGCTTTAAGTGAGCCTATGTAACTATGGGCCAAAGGGACAAGACTAAATGTTAGTTTCACAGCCATACAGTTTGCTATTAGCTACTGCTCATAGTGGACCAAAACTGGACTGGGACCCAGTACATGAAACAGCAGCTAACATTTAAATGTATAATACAAAAATGGTGTTATTCCTTCTTTGTAAAGTGACGTAGTTGCGCTGTAATGTCTTCTAACGCAGTGGTTTCCAACCGGGGGTACGGGGAACCCTAGGGGTACTTAAGATAATTGCAAGAAAGATTAGGTATTGCAAAACATTTCAAAAGCAAAAATCATTTCAAAATACATTCTCATAAGCCTGGTGTCGCTAGTAACAGTTCCTCCCAGGATGGTGTTGATTGTAACACTACTGTAGTTCAAGTTCACGCTACAGTAGCGTACATAGCAATAAGCTAACATTAGCTGTAAAGTGGCGGTAAGAATGGATGCATTGTTAGGCAGGGATAAACACACAGCTACAACCGGCAGTTCAGTGAGAAATACATTTCTCATGGATTTATTTAAAAGGAATAATTCTATGACGCCAACCTATCTGCAGCGGCGGCACCAGTGCACCAAACAGGCCGGGAGTGTCAGTAGAAAGTTGGGTTGAATACAAATACAAAGAGTATAATAAAAGAAAACATGTAGGCCAATCATCACAGATGAGTGGGGGGGTACTTTCTGTTCTAACGCATGTAGCTGGAGACTATGGTGGCAGTACGGTCACCCTGTAGCACTACACTGTGCTCTCCACTGACCCCTGTAGGTAGAGAAGGGGAACACCTACTTGAGCAGGGGCTTGTCCAGCGTGGGGGAGGGGGTGAAGGCGCTGAGACAGCAGGTCAGCAGCAGCCAGCCCCTCAGGCTGCTCAGATCCTCCTGCAGGCCCCAGGTGTGGTAGGCCAGCTGGGCCAGGATCTCGTCCCTCAGGGGGGGCCGGCTCTGACCCCTCTCCACGATGTAGTTACCCAGCAGCTGCTCCTGCCAGCCACTCAGCTCCGACTCACCCGTAAACCGCAGGATCTGAGGAGAGAAGGGTCGGAAATAATAAACGGACAAATGAGAATGAAACAAATATAAACTAAAGTAATCAGTCTGTACCAGTTTGTAGATGTCCAGGGCAGTTCTGTTATCTTCAGGTTCCAGGGGGGTGAGGGATCTCTGGAGGGGGCGTCCCTGAGGCTGGCACCATGTATCCTGAGGAGGACAACATATGAGGACATCTCACAAAGACAGGAAACACAATCCCACTCCTTTCATTCATTCAGGTGTAGGGCTGTTCCTGTATAAACTTTGTTTAGAATAATACATCTTTCAACGTAAATGTAATCTGAGATTGAGTTTGATATTCAAGCCTCAATCAAACAGAAATAAATTGGTACAAGATTATTCTTGTTATTATATGTTTTTATAAAAATCCTTGTTTTCTTGAACCAGGAAGGAATCTCCATAAATCTCTGTAAGACATTTATTTATTACATTTTTACATAAAGGGAGTGGATTGAAATGTTGAAATACTTTCCAAAACACAACAACAACAACAACAACAACACAGTGTCAACAAAGTCCCTGGTAGATCATTAGCTAACACTTATGACACAATGCTGTGCAATAAATACCTGAATATGTTCTAAATAGACATGTTTTTGTAGTATGTGCATGCCCTTTGCTCACCTTTAAGATGGACTTGGCATAGCGAGAGAATGGGTATCTGTCTACATCCAGAGGCAGGCTGAGCTTGTGTTGGGCCTTCACCTGAGGGGGGGCCACCTCTGTGACCCCCGAGCCATGCTGCTGCCCTGGTGGACAGAGAGGGAACAACAATCACAAACTGAGCGCTGTGGCAGGACAGGAGGATTAACGTGATGTGTTATCTGATACAATGTGATGATTATTAAAAGCGTACCTGCTGCACTGCGGAGTCTGGCTGACAGCTCAGCAGGGATCTCCAACATCCCCACATCCTGAGGGAAACACACATAAAGCAAAGATGACCTCAGGAGAATCCAGAGGGCTGGCCCTTAGATTTCTGGGACAGCAGGCTCTCTCTCTACGATATGGGATACTTTTGATTTGCTTACCATTCCTGGAGATACACTCTTAGTCTTTGTCACTGCCTTCACTTTATTCTTCTCATGAAATTCCTGAAATTGACACGCAGCAAAGTCAGTCCATCACACTGTGACCAGCAGGATTTCCTCTCATAATCTTAAAGTTATTGTTAGGGAATAATTTGCTTAGGTATTCAAACTTTGACACAGTTCATCATGTTCTCTTCTCACTGTCTCCTTTCTCATGGCATAGGTCTACGGCCTGGGGTATTGCTGCTATCTCTCTTAAGGAGGGGCAGCTTGGGCGCATTGTTGTTGCCAGTCTATGACAGAGCACAAGCCGCCTGAGGTAGTTTACTGTTCAGGGACGTAGGTTCCCTGGCGCACATACTTTTCTATGGACGAGGGCTCTAGTTAGATTCAGGTCCATCATTGTTTAGTCTCACTGATGAAGAATGTTGATTATTACACTCCGAACTAGTTAAAACCTGGAGCTGCAGAAAGAGTTCTTCAGAATTGGTTTGGCAACCGCTGTGTCAACTCGTGACACACCACCTGTCTTGTCAATTCTCCGGCCGTAACTCCAAATAAACCGTCAGTGTTTGCCATCAAAGCTCCAGCTCTCCTCGTGCCTCTCTGAGTCCTGACTCTCCATTGCTACAGAAGTTTCCCCCACAGTTATATAGTTCTATTTTTGGCGTCCTTCACCTGAAGCTTATTTGTTTCACTGAGTAATCCTCTTGATATCCAGGTAAACTCAACCCTCCCTCCTCTCTGCTGAGAAGTGTGTTCAATCAGACCTATTCTTAGACACACGTCCTGTTTTATACTTCTGCCCCTCCCACAGGCGGTGGCCCCGCCTCATACAGCAGGGCACGCAGTTCCAAGAGTCCAGAAAGTGTGTTTTTATCAGGAGCTTTACAGCTCACAGAGAGGAGTTCCATCAATGCAGCAGGGCAGCGTCACTCAGATGTGATTCATATGATGAACACATCTCTGTCATTCCCAGTATTTACAGGGTGAGTAGTTTGTTTAAAGTAGGTATCGGACAAATGCCTCAAACCTGAAGTATGCATTTCAGATTACACATGTGCGTGCAGACATACTCATACAGAAAATACTCCTCTTTTATGCCATTTTGTATTCATACACTTAAATAAAGAGAATGGGTCTGTTCAAACACACAGAGCCCCACCCTGCCTTACCTCCACAATGACCCACCCACCCAAACCAAACAAGTGTGGCACAAATCAGAAGGGACCCAAACGCACCGTGAGGCTCACTACACCCTGACAATATGTTACCAATTTATCAGTTTAATCATTGTTTTATAAACGTGTCATGTAAGAACGATGTCATTTGGAACTCATATCAGGAGTATAGATGTGACAGATAAATGTCATGTCATCATTTAGATGCCAGGCGCTGCGATGCAATATTTTGAGGCAGCACACATAAATGATAAGTGCCCCCCCAGAGATAACAGTGTTAAAGCAGAATGTCATTCTCATTAGGAAAAAGTGACTCATATACGCAATTGTATATCCTGTGTTTCACTATGTTGGTCAGCCTTAATTATGGTTGGATCACAACTGTTGACACAAACCTATTGCTTTCTGTTTAAATGAACAGGGTACTTCAACAATATGAGTAATACATTGTTAATTTATCAGTAGCATGCACCGCTCTTAAAGACTGACATGTTCATGGGGGTCATATTCATTGGGCTCCAAATGGGGTCTCAATATATATTGGTTTGAGGGCCACTGTTTTCTATCTTCAGCAACCATTCATTTCATTCGCTCTACCCCTTTCCAAACATAACAAACTATTCTCTTCTAACTCTGCACCTGTCCGCCATAACCTTCGTTCCCTCTCCCCCTCTACTCTGACCTCATCGGTGCTCTCAGCCCTCCCTTCCTCTGACTCATTCCAACTCCTGCCTCCAAACTCTGCTGCAGAAACTCTCCTCTGGACTCTTTCATCCTCTCTGGACTCTCTCTGTCCTCTCACATCTCGGCAGGCTCGTCAGTCCCCTCCTGCTCCCTGGCTAAATGACTCACTGCGTGCTAATAGAACCATCCTTAGGGCAGCAGAGCGGAAACGGTGGAAATCCAAACACCGTGACGACCTCCTAACCTACCAGGCTCTCCTCTCCTCTTTCTCTGCTTCGATCTCTCAGGCAAAAAGCACTTTCTTTCAAGATAAGATCCATTCTTCCTATTCCAATCCCAAAAAACTATTTTCTATCTTCTCCACCCTCCTCGAACCCCCCCAGAGCCCCTTCCCCCTCCTCCCTTCTGTCAAGCGACTTTGTTAACTACTTTGAAAAAAAGGTTGATGATATTCGCTCTTCTTTTTCTGACTCACCTTTACTCACCGCTGGGTCACCAGACCCTCCTTTCACCCACACACTAACCTCCTTTTCCCCTCTCTCTCCAAGTGAGGTTCTTACCCTCATTACCTCTGCCCGTCCTACCACCTGTCCTCTGGACCCTATCCCCTCAAACCTCCTTCAGACTATTGCTCCTGATATTCTACCGTTTCTCACCCATTTCATCAACACTTCTCTAACTTCTGGTCACTTTCCAAACAGTCTCAAGGAGGCAAGAGTAAACCCTCTCCTAAAGAAAGTTTGAAACCCACTCTCAACCCGTCCAATGTTATAAACTACAGGCCTGTCTCTCTCCTCCCGTTCCTGTCTAAAACACTTGAACGCGCTGTCTTTAAACAACTCTCCTGTTATCTCCATCAGAACAACCTTCTGGATCCGCACCAGTCTGGTTTCAAGGCAGGTCACTCAACAGAAACTGGTCTCCATGCTGTCTCTGAGGAACTGCACACTGCTAAAGCAGCCTCCCTCTCCTCTGTCATCATGCTTCTGGACGTCCCCTCCTGACCCAGAAAGCGACGCAGCTTCTGGTCCAGGCTCTCGTCATCTCACGCCTAGACTACTGCATCTCCCTCCTGGCTGCTCTACCTGCATGTGCCATCCGACCTCTGCAGCTCATCCAGAATGCAGCGGCTCGTCTGGTCTTCAACCTTCCAACACTTTCCCACACCACGCCGCTCCTCCGCTCACTTCACTGGCTTCCAGTAACTGCTAGAATCCACTTCAAGACACTGGTACTTGCGTACCATGCTGTGAATGGATCTGGCCCTTCCTACATCCAGGACATGGTTAAACCATACACCCCAGCACGAGCCAAACGGCTCGCTGCACCAGCACTGCGAGGGGGACCCAAGTTCCCATCAGCAAAAACACGTCGGTTTGCTATCCTGGCTCCAAAATGGTGGAATGAGCTCCCCATTGACATCAGGACAGCAGAAAGCTTACACATCTTCCGGCGCAGACTAAAAACTCATCTCTTTCAACTCCACTTCGAGCGATAGAATTACTAACAAAGCACTTATATACTAACTAAGCACTCATATACTTCAGAGATGAATATCGTAGTTTTTACTCACAGTATTAGTGAATATGTTATCAAACTGTACATTAAGTGGTACAGATTAGTTCCAACTGGACCAGATACATCAGTCAAATACTATGTTCTGCACAAAAAGTTGTGGTCCAAAGTCCTGGACTACATTTCCCACAATGCAACTCAACTGTAAAGCATCTTAAGCCTGGTTGAGGATACCCTCTTTCCAATTCCACATGCACAGTTGTGTAACTGTCTTTCAGTCTGTGGACTGTCTGATCAAATAGTGACTATTGTATTGTACTGTATTGAATGAATCTGTCACTATGTCATCATCAGGGTTAGTTTGCACACATTTAAACCCAAGCAAATATTGGTGTGTTATTGCTCTTCATATTGAAAATGTGTGCCTGTCAGTGATTTGCAACTCCACAGAAAATACTCTTCTGACATTAATGATTGTTTTTAACCAAGATAACCTAGTCAACACTTTTCTATTTTCCTAGTAATCACCATGCTCATTAACAGTGATCAGAAGTAGATGTGATGTCACCTTAAGCCCAACGTCATCTTGCTTTTTAGTAACTTACACTAACTGAATCAAACTAGGCTAACAGCTGACAGAGGCAGTTTCCACTGTTCATAGTCCAATCCCCATAAAACAATAACACCAAATAGAATGGAGCTGTGATACACTGAAGCCAAAATAACCAACATTTAGTTCACAGAGAAAGGCAAAAAGGCACAGAAGCTGAACACCAGCTGAAAGTATAGTAGAGTCTCTGTGTGTTCGGAAACCTGAAGCAGACCCTAAGATCGGTTTAGTATAAATGAACTGAATGCTTGAAAATATTTGAGCAGAGATCTGATGTAAAGGGTTAAGAAGGCAGCCTACCTGTTGGGCTGAACTGGAAGCAGAGAGAGAGACAGGTAGAGAAGGTGGAAGGAGAGATGTGCTGCTGCTTCAAATTACACTCAGAGGGTTGAAGTCCAAGACCAGAGGGGGTGTGTGTGTGTGTGTGTGTGTGTGTGTGTGTGTGTGTGTGTGTGTGTGTGTGTGTGTGTGTGTGTGTGTGTGTGTGTGTGTGTGTGTGTGTGTGTGTGTGTGTGTGTGTGTGTGTGTCCAAGATACATGATTAATGCAAGATAAGAAAGCTGGTTAAAGGAAAGGGATCAGATCTTTTAAAGGAAGTATCTGCAAATGTGTAAACGTGTAAATGAACACACCCCATACACAAAGGGCCCAGCAGTCCTCAATACATTTACCTAGATAGCTTTCAGTTTTCATTTCAGATAAAACAATCCAATTACTTTAGAAAGGAAATCCTCTGGAGGACTTGGATTATATGATTTACATTCTAATTTTCTTTTGGAAATCTAGTTCCAGATCTCCCTTATATAAAAGAAACCCAACATTTCAATATATTTACATAATTGAAGAAAAGAGTAACTCATCATCTTATTGTTTTAAGTTGCCTATTCAAATAGAGTAGACAGAACACTATTAGCATGTGTTTGTGTGCATTTACTTTGTAGTAAGTAGGTCTAACATTGAGTCTCCTAGACCCCAAGCCTGTTTTTCAGGTTTCAGGCTCGAAAATGACATGCCCAGAACAAATGACTATAACTTCACTTCTAAAAGGGTTAAATTAATAATCTTTTTTCTCAAAGCAAGGTTACATCTGTGAGATGGATGTAGACGTGTCAGAATCAATATAGATGTTTCTGTGTCAGAGTGAATTCAGATGGAACATAGTAAAAAAGTGTAAATTCTTACCTCCGCCTAACAAAAAACCATTACTTATAGTGAAAACCACCCTTGAATGATGGGTTAGTAGCCTAAAAGCTTTAGGAATCCAAAGTATAACATATAATAAGTACCCTGTATCAAGATTGAGGCAAAACAAGTGAAAATTGATATTTTAGAGATATTTAGGGGAAAAAAGTCCAGGCGGACTAAGCTTTGGGCACATATGGGCACATCTGGTTCCATCAGTGCCATTTGACCTTTTTCAGGTACCAGACTGTAAAAATCATTTTATAACATTGAATCATCACTATAGGTATTCATTCCATAAAAAAAAAAAAAAAAAGAAAAAAAAATTATTGTAAAATTTAACCTGCTAATTATTGTCATGGATTTGAAAACTGATGTTGTTTATTTGCTATGTTCTGGCTGCTAGCTCAGTGAATTTTTGCCTGCAGTGATGGGGTGTATACCCATGGAATCTGTGGAATCTCAGCTTTCAGATGATGTGTTGTTTGTGCAGAAAGTATAATTATAAATGATCATTTTTGTGAGTTATGAGCAGAAATAGCATTAGTCCGTATTTGCTAAGGGCTCATTGAAAGGCTTCTTGTGGGAATTATTATTATTATTTTTGTATTTTTTTTTGTATAGTCAGTTAGCCGAGTTTCTTCCCGTCAGCTGGGTGTGGAACATTAATAGTTTCATAAATGACACTTCAGAGATCACACTGGTGCTAGCAGATGTAGCATTTTCGGACCCTTCGGCGGGTCCGTGGGGTTTAACAGGTTAACTCTGGTGTGGTCTCTGCCATGTGGTGAGAAAACCTGTTACCTGAACATATTCAGTCTTTTTAAATATATTTATTTATTTTTAAAAACGTATCTGTCTTTTTAGCTGTTTTATGCTCCACTATGTTCAGCAGCTGGTCTCTAACTGTGTCTGTCTGCTACAGGAAATGATGAACAATATAAAAGCACCATTTTCTAAAGTGCAAAGGCGTAAAGAGTTTGTCATTTTTTTCACATTCAACATTTTGATGAGGAGCTTTAAATACCCTATTTTGGATGTTTTGAGTACCACAAACTATTTGATGGATATATATTGCATTGAATTTGTAGATACAACTAGACATTAAAATACCTTTTTTTTTAAACAAAATAATTATTGGGTGAAGAACCTGACGCCATTCTATGAAATAAAGAAAAATCATAAATAGACCACTGAAACAACAATAAAAGCAGCACTAATGTTAAAGTCATTTGGGAGGAAATGAAAAACAGAGTTTATGGTTGTTACACTTTGACCCTGAACATGGATGTCAGGGCGTTGTCACTCAGAGGACACTGACATATTTTTCCAATTACCACTCAGGCTGCGGTGATAAGCTGCTGCTGTTGTGCAAGAGATTTGCAGCAAAGATTTATAGCGTAATAAAGTCAGCAAACATAAGGTTGCCAGGAAACATCAGCCAGGGTCTGTCTACCTTCCTCCAATGGCGTCTCTTGATGGTGTCCCTGGTGATCATCATCACCGCCCAGAACTGGGTGAAGCACTGCCTCAGACGCTTGTAGTGCTTCCTAGAGAAGAGAGGAGGCAGCAACACACAATGAGCCTCATGTTGGTGTATCACATGACCTCATTCAGCCTGATGCATTCCTCAGTTACCTCCGTCTGTCGGGAGAAGTGAGTGTGACTGTACATGGTCTCTTAACTGTTTCATTTCAGTGCAGTTTTTTATTTGAGTTTCCTTTCTTCTAGACTCTCTTATCTTTTTCTCCTTCTATCCATATTTCCATGTTTATCATTTTCTATATTTCGGTCATTTATTGTTACACTTTCCTTCACCATTTTCTTAAGCTCCCTCTTTTATAATGTATTTATTTATATAGTTCATGAATTAATTGCGTTACATGTTTTCATTATTAATCATAAAAAAATAATCTTTCCTTCTTTCTTTCTTCACACTTTAACAAAAACAAAAGAAGAATACTGACTGTAAACTGAAATATAATATTACAAAAATATTAAAGCAAAACTAAACTCTTGTCCAAGTACTTTTCATTTGTAAAACAATATATCCTTCATTGTATTCCTCATTGTGTCCCTAGAGTTGAAGAGCCTATCATAAGGTCCCTCACTGTCTACACTGATAAGGCATGGCTGCTCCTCTGCACCTGGCCTGGTGTCCTCGGATGTGGCTCTGGATGACGATGGCCTTCTGTCTGAAGAACCTGAAGTTCCTCCTACAGATGAAGCCTCGGATGTTTCTCTGGATGGTGACGGCCGCCCACGTCTGAGTGCTGCTCCACTTCTCCTCCAGCTGCTGGTAGAGCAGCTCCTTGAGGAACAGCTGACAGACACACACATGTTGATGTGTACAGTACAGACTTGAACCAGTGTGATGACAGGCAGTTGGTTACCTTGGTGAGTCCCAGCTGGTACTGCCCCTCCTCGGCCCCCACCAGCTCCAGCAGGGCCAGCAGCTGCTCCCTGTCCGACACCTCGCTCTGACGCTGACTCAGCAGAACTCCGTACCTGTCAACACAAGCTGAGGATGACCTTAATCTAGTCTTGATTTATTGCTGAATTCATCTTACTACTCAAGAAGAAGAATCCCACAAGGGGGAATTCAGTTTTCACAAATGTAGTAAATACAGAACAAATACACTCCAACAGGACCGCTACCGATGGTGGAATGAAACTAAGTACTGGAAAAAAAAGATAGAGGTAATTGTACTTTACTTTAGTATTTTCACAGTTTGCTAGTTTATACTCCATTACATTTTGTAGGCATTTTGTTGTACTTTGTACTCACTACATTTATTTTACAGATTAAGTTACTGGTCACATTGCAGATTAAAATATGAATATAAAATACATTATTATATTTGATTAGAGGCTAAAATATATATTTTTAAAAACACCTTTACCATGTCCAACATTGAAGTTATAACCACATTAATCATTATAATACAATCATTTAAATATATGGTGCTTATTTGTGTTATTCCGCATGATGAGTACCAGAAGTACAATTTTGAATGCAGGACTGTGACTAGGATTGCTACTTAAATCATCCGAGTACTTCTTGCTCCACTGACTGCTACACATTATGGCGTGAAATACACACATGCACAAACACATGCATTTGTATAAAGAGGTGTCCGAGCAAAGGGGCTTCCATGTTTCAGCGCCCGGAAGCAGTTGGGGGCTCAGAGCCTTGCTCAAGGACACCTTTGCAATGCCCGGGAAGTGGACGGACAACTCTCCAGCTACCAGTCCACACAACGTTTTTTTAGTCCTGGGACTCAAACTGGTGATCAAGCCAATTCCCTACAGACTGAGCACTGCTGCCCTCCCTTCATCAACTGCCATTTATTCAGTGGAGGGTTTTGAAGACAATGACAAAACTGAGCCCTGATATAAAATGCACCACTCTGCCACCCACAACATACGGTGCACAGTAGAACAGTACACAGGATCATACATCAAGACCTTTACTTTGAAATATTTAGTAATGACAAACACTGCTAGCTTGCATGCTAGTTCACTGTAGTCTTTGCTGTTCGCCTCCAGTTTTTGGGCAAGACAGTCTATGAAGGGCAATTCAACAGTCTGTCTCCATCGACGATTGTTGTTTGATGTTGGTTTGGTGTCTGTGCCTTTAGTTTAAATGTGTTTAATGAATCAAAAAAGGCAGCATTTCACTCTAAAAAAAGATTATATAATTGATGAAAAATGACTCAACTATGCATGGACTGAAAAACTCAAAGAAGAATCACCGTCTCAATTCTCGCTATACAATTACACAAGAGAAGACACAACTCCAGGACCTATTCTATCAATCCAAAACCAAAAAGGCAATCCAGATATACAATGACCCCACCCATCATCTCAACCCAGCCTTCCAGCTGCTGCCATCAGACTGAAAGTCCCAATGGGCAGGAGACACAACCGTTTGCTGAGTATGGGGAGTGTGGTTTGATTTGCCGGTGCCAAACACAAATTGTCATTTTTTGCCAATTTAATTTGAAATAAGGTAATCTGAATTGCCACATCTCAGTACTGAACATCTTGCAACTATACAGGAGAAAAGAAGAATAAATAAGAGAAGGGGAATACAAATTAGACACTGGTATTTCTAAAAGGGGTAAAATGATAAACACATCATGCTGGTGTGATGCTCTGTATGTTAGCAGCACCTCTCGATGAATAAGGAGTACTGTATGCGTATGGGGAACCCTTCTTTCCTGATGTGGATGGTCTCCATTATCCCAGCATGCCTCAGCTGGGCCGACACATAGTCCACGTCAAAAATCCCAGGGAGCTGACCGATGACATGACAGTTGAAGTACACGGTTATACAGTGGTTGCAGGTGTTAGGATATAAGTTAGCATCAGTATAAAGAATCTGGTGTTACCTTGACGTAGTTTGGCTTCAGACAACGAATAAAAGTGGTTTTGCATCTAATAGTTAAAGGACAAAACACACATGTTATTCCTCAGCAAACATTATTCATAACACACTCATAACAAAAGCTAACAATGCAATGTGCGTAGCTGATGACACTTCATTAAAAACGAATTTCATGTCTGAAATGCTGAATCAGAAATGGCGCTGAAAACAATATACTGTCACATCACTCCATCCATAAAACAAGCATTTGAAAAGTGCCCTGTCTTGAGGACAAATCTTATTTTAGACATTTTATAAATCAGCATCACCATTTAGTTATTTCAGCAGACTGTCAATCCATATATTGTAATAAAACAACTGTCAAATCTTTTTATTACATTACATTTCATTTAGCTGACGCTTTTATCCAAAGCGACTTACAATGACCATTTACAGGGACATCCTCCCTGGAGTAACTAAGGGCTAAGTGCCTTACTCATGGGCACACTAATGGTGGGGTTCCAGGCGGGATTTGAACTCACAACCTTCCAATCTTCAGCCCACCTCACTATCCATTAGACCACCACTATCCCTTTTTATGTTGGGTTCATACTGTTTTAAAGTAGTAGCAGAAAACATAATTAACTAAACAGTACAAATAAACATATATCTCACAGTCAAAGTTTTGTGCATCATACAGATATTTGAAAGAAGAATATTTAAAAAGCACAAACAAGAGGCACTGCAAATACCAGGCATATTTCAGTGAGGATTCATACCATGACAATATGATGAACTAACCAGCTCTCCTAATCCCCATATTTCTTTCCATGACATTTATTAAACCCACATTCTCCACAGACCACAGCTATCTGATATTTCACAAATTCAGAGGAACAGTATTACTTTAGGTGATGCTCTGGAGCAGGGGTGTCAAACTCAAATACACAGTGGGCCAAGATTAAAAACTAGTGGAGGGCCGGACTGGTTCAATGTTTATTGCAGAACTTATTGAAATGAACCTATTGCACATATTAAACCTGGAACTAACTAAACTTAAATTATTGCCTATAAAAACAACATTAAAAATGAAATAATCAGTTGCATTCATTTCTTATGGCTCTATCTGCAGCTTTTCCAGAGTCATTTCTTATGATTACATTTCTCCACAGGCCAACAACAGCTTCGAAAAAACTATTTCCCTCAAAGAAAAACCAAACATGCCCTGTTGTCGTGAGAAAACAAGTGCAGAAGGAAACTTCCATTGAAACTCAGGTTGCTGCTCTGTGATGCTAGTTCAAGCCAGATACTTGGCATCTCATCTCGGGTGCAAGTTCATCAATGTTTGGGCTCAGGCTCTGAGTTGAGGAAACCCTACCCTTAAAAATTGAGTTTGAGTTTGCGGGCCTTGAGTTTGACATGTGTGCTCAGAGGTTCTCACACTGCTCCACAGCTCTGGATCAGTGTGTGTGTAAGAGTGTGTGTCAGTGTGTGTGTCAGAGTGTGTGTCAGAGTGTGTGTCAGTGTGTGTGTCAGAGTGTGTGTCAGTGTGTGTGTCAGAGTGTGTGTCAGTGTGTGTGTCAGAGTGTGTGTCAGTGTGTGTGTCAGAGTGTGTGTCAGTGTGTGTGTCAGAGTGTGTGTCAGTGTGTGTGTCAGTGTGTGTGTCAGAGTGTGTGTCAGTGTGTGTGTCAGTGTGTGTGTCAGTGTGTGTGTCAGTGTGTGTGTCAGTGTGTGTGTCAGAGTGTGTGTCAGAGTGTGTGTCAGTGTGTGTGTCAGAGTGTGTGTCAGTGTGTGTGTCAGAGTGTGTGTCAGTGTGTGTGTCAGAGTGTGTGTCAGTGTGTGTGTCAGTGTGTGTGTCAGAGTGTGTGTCAGAGTGTGTGTCAGAGTGTGTGTCAGTGTGTGTGTCAGAGTGTGTGTCAGTGTGTGTGTCAGTGTGTGTGTCGTGTGTTGGTACCTCTCCAGGCGGGTGGTGAGTTCTGTCAGGGACTGCAGGAAGTGAGAGGCAGCGGTGGAGGGCTGCTGCCGGAGACCCTTCCCCCTCCAGCCCAGCTCTCTCTGCTGGATGTAACCGTCCTGAAGCTTCCGGAAGAGCTCCGACACCGTCTGACACACACAATCACAGGGAAACTGTAAAAATAGATTTTTTTTATGATTTCTTCAATATCTATATCTTTAAACTGATCACGTTTGTATTTAGTAGAAGAAGAAACAGAGGCATTTTCTAGTAAAACCTATATTAAGCATTATTACAAGAAAAGGTTCTAACCATCTGAGACCTTTGGGATCCACCCAGGGGACCCTACTGTCACAGGCTCAATTTAACAGCTGGAATGAAGCTACTAAGACTAAAGGAATCCAATGTCACGTCGCCATATTTACAGGAGTATCTTAACCTCTCACTTTACAGTATCTGAACAAAAGGCTCCTCTCTACAAATCATGCGGTTTTACATATAAATGTGTTATTAATGCAAACTCTAAAAATGACTTTATTATTTCTGCAGCATGAGTCCCTGGTATTGCAAGAGTTGGGAATGACTTGAAATATGAGACTCTAGTGGATTCAATGCGCACGATTGATTTCATGTGTAATGACGCCAGTCACCATAGCAGTCATTTCATTGTAGTAAGACCATTCATTGAAACTTGACCTCAATATGAGATGAGCTGCTGTGACCTCTAGGATAACCACAGCCTCATACAACTTTACAACAACAAACTACAGACTGGAATCGTTCAGATGATAAACGGCTTTCCTATATAAATTGACAATAAGGGGCTTTTCTGATCAGTTTTCAGGAAAGCAGCACTCACTATCCAATATCCAATACATGTCAAATGTCAAAAAACCTTTGATACCAGGTCACATCGTGACTTTCTATTTCTTCCTATAGTGTTCTTGATGTGGTATTTTGGAGAGATTTGTGATATTCTTTTATAAACTCTGAACTTCACAAATGTTGCCACAGAGAAACACATTGCTTATAAAATATAGATATTTTATTAGCTTCTTGGTGGCACTTTCACAACTACAGGTGTTATATAGTTTAAATGTTTGATTTACAAACTTGTGTAATCCAATTAAATAATATTATTTTAAAAAACTTGAAATTTAAGCCAGCTGTTGCACATGTTGCTAAGCTACACAATAAGACCCAAAGCACTCTATTTGGGTCTAATGCCCGATGGTGCACCTTTAACCGGCTCCTGGCAAAAAGCTCCACCACCTCTGTCCTGAACTGGTCGTGGTTCTTATTCAGGAAATTATGAACCTGGAAACAGAGTATATGTTTATGAGACAAAGGTTGTTGCAGCAGATGTGCTGCATATTTAGTACAGTGTGCTGTGCCTGATACCTGATAGGTGACAGCTCCGGCGTAGTGATACACAGTAAAGACTGGCAGGGGGTTCTTAGGCTTGGCATAGTAGGGGCTGTTCCCATGGTGATAGTGGCACTTCTGGAGGAAGGTGTGGTCAGTGGCCTGATTGAAAAAGGGGAACAATACTTAAAAACATATACAAATTCACTTAAATGTTTATAATTCTTCCAGATCAGATGTAATAACCACGGCATACTGCCATACAAGCAAAGCAGTGTTATTGAATATAGGGCATTTCCTTAACTCATCGAGGTGTTTATAGGGGATATAAAAAGTGAGAAAACAATATACTGTCACAAACAAAATATAACGTCATAAAAACAGATCACAGTACCTGGCAAAGTAACAGGTGAGTATCTCGGCCACAAACATTAGTCTTTCTATGGTTTTCCTGTTCGTTTTCGTGTGTGTGCATGCGTGTTTGTGTTAGTCTGTGTGTGCATGCGTGTGTGTGTGTGTGTGTGTGTGTGTGTGTGCGTGTGTGTGCATGCGTGTGTGTGTGTGTGTGCACGTGTGTGTGTGTGTGTGCACGTGTGTGTGTGTGTGTGCGTGCGTGTGTGTGTGTGTGCACGTGTGTGCGTGCATGCGTGTGTGTGTGTGTGTCCATGTGTGTGCATGCGTGTGTGTGTATGTGCGTGCGTGCGTGTGTGTGTGTGTGTCCGTGTGTGTGCATGCGTGTGTGTGTGTGTGCGTGTGTGTGTGTGTGTGTGTGTGTGTATGCGTGTGTGTGTGTGCACGTGTGTGCGTGTGTGCGTGTGTGCGTGCGTGCGTGCGTACCTGGGGCAGGCAGGTCTGATCGTCCAGTATGCGCAGGATGCCGTGGGGTCTGGAGGAGATGAGCTCCAGACAGGAGTGGAAGTCCTTCAGAGGCATGGGGTACCACTGGATCTGCTCTGCACTGTACTCCTCCTGAGGAACACACAGACACTGGCTCTCAGGCTCCTTGCTAACACACTAGCACACAGTGTAAAGAAAAGGTTTGCTCTCCCTGATTTGTTAACCGTGCACTTCTTAACATTTAACAATGCCTTTCGCAGGGACTGGATCCGAAGCTAAAACTACGTCCTCTTAATGTTAATAAATCCTTTATTATGGAATTATTAACAGTTATCTGCGCCTTTTTATTTAGTGTACGACATACAACACATTTCAAAGTTGAATGCATAAAAAAAGAAGAAAACATATCTTGTGGGTGGTGTTGGAACTATTTTGTATAATCGGTTCAGGTATTTGTTGTTATGTGATGACTACACAGTCACAGCACCAAGCTGGAGTTTTGTCAATGTGTGGAGTTTTTCTAGCCAGCTTACTAGTTAAAAAGACAAAGAGTGTCTGGAGGAGGGTGCAGTCAAAAGGACTTTCTCCAACCAAACCAAAGGTTTGTTAGTAATGGCTTTTAACTGATATATAGGGCATAACTAAATGACTCATCCACTATTGATAAAGTCATTACTCTCAGATTATTAGTATGTAAAGGATGATTTATTTAACAGTGTCGTATATAGGGTCAGGTGTTCTTCATGGACCTGTCCGGACACTGACCTGCTCCTGGGAGATCACCGCCTTGTTGACAAAGTGCTGCAGCTGCTCGTTGGCGAAGTTGATGCACAGCTGCTCGAAGCTGTTCACTGCCAGGTCCTGCAGAGGAGAGGGATCACAGCATCACCACAGGCAACGCTCAGATACTTCTCCTGATGGTGTGCAGGGTGAATACCAACCTCAAACCCATAGATGTCCACTATGCCCACCGTGCTGTCCATCTCCGAGGGGCTCAGCCAATCATTGATCTGCTCCAGCAGCCAGTCAAACAGCACAGAGTACAAGGCTTTGGCAATGGCATCTCTGCAAAGAGGACCGGGATGAGAGAGGGGGGGGAGCTTTAATGCAAAGGCTTTACAGAAAAACCTGCCTTAAAAACTGTGGGAGTGGAGTTTGGAAGAACTGAGTAGAGTAACAAAAAATAGACACTTTATCGAGCTTCACTATAAGAGAAGTAATATCCAGAATTTGTAGGCTTGACCTTTACATATGACTAAATATCTGATCTCAGCCTCTGCTGCAAACATTTCTATGGACGCATAAAAATCCATGAGCTATTTTCTTTTGATTTTACGGTCTTCAATTAAATTTGAGAAATGAATCCACGTTTATTCCACTTGTCTACTTTTAAGGTTGAAAAAGTAGAGTGCGATCATATCGTTATCACTCTGGCGATTGTTGAGATGTGTGTTGTGGTACTAGAAGAGTGGAACAGTTCTTCACTCCTAAAAAGAAGCTGTGAGGATCTGCTTTACGGTCTTTGAGAAGACTTAGGAGTGTGTCTCTTCGGTTACTTTATGGGTTGCCATGGTACTCTGGAGACAGTGGCGGCTCCAGGGTATGGCTGGGGTAGGCTACAGCCCCCCCCCCTTCAAGACAGCATCTGCGGTCTCCGAAGCCTGATAAGAATGTGTGTGTACAAAACGCAGCAAACTCTAACTGATATGTGCTGGGTCCAGGCTCAAGGGCATATGGCACTCTCAACTCTTTCCAGGACAAGCCGGGGCCCTGCCTGCCAGTAGCGTTGCCGATATCTGTGTTGATAGGAAATAGATTGAGAGCGGTGACTCAGCTTAGAAACAGGAAGCGCTCAAACGTTTGTGTGAGGTTATCAAATTTAGCAGTGATTCCATGTCAGCCACAGCTTGTCACAAACAATCTGACTGATAGTGTATTTAACGAACTTAAACTAGCTTTATTAAATGTCAGGTCTTTGGCAGGAAAAACGTTTCTAATCAATGATTTTATCACTGAGCACAATCTCGATTTTATGTTTTTAATGGAAACTTGGATTGAACAAAATAACAGTGCAGCTGTTCTTATCGAATCAATCGCTCCCAACTTCAGTTTTATGAGTCAGGAAAGAATGCATAAGAAAGGAGGTGGAGTTGCTATTTTGTTCAATGATTCCATTCAATGCAGGAAGACATCTTATGGGAACTTTGCTTCTTTTGAATATGTGGCCCTTCAGCTGAAATGCTCCTCTCGAGCTCTGTTCCTAAACATCTACAGACCACCCAAATACTGTGCAAGCTTTTTTGATGACTTACTGAACTGCTGTCTATAGTGCGTATTGACTTTGACCGTCTAGTCATTGTTGGTGATTTTAACATCCATGTTGACAACCCCCAGGACAGAGGGGCTAAAGAACTGTTTTGTGTTCTTGATAACCATGGACTGACTCAGCATGTGGCGGAGCCCACGCACAATAAGGGGCACACTCTGGACTTAATTATCTCAAAGGGTTGAGGTGACTGATGTTGCACTCTCTGATCATTCATGTGTTTTCTTTGAGAGCTCTATTTCTGTTCACAAAAATGTTCAAAAAGAGGTAACCACAAAGCAATATTTAACTGAAAATACTAGGGAAATGTTTACTCAGAATTTTTCTTCCACACTTGCCCCTGCTAACATCTCAGTAAATGAGCTAGTAGATCATTTTAATTAAAAAATGTAAAATGTTATAGAGGCCATTGCTCCAACTTAGGTAAAGGAAGTGACTGGGAAGAAAATATCTCCATGTAGAAAGGCCATGACCGTGAGAACAGAAAAAAGAGAGTGTCGAAAAGCTGAACGCAGGTGGCGAAAAACAAATCTCCAGGTTCATTTTGAAATCTATAAAGAGAGACTTGGCTTTTATCATTTGGAATTGAAAAATGCACGACAGTCTTTCTTCTCTGACATCATTGCCAAAAACAAAAACAACGCACGTGCCTTGTTTGCTACCGTTGACAGACTAACAAACCCCCCTGTGTCAGTAGCCTCTGAATTTCTATCCACCAGGGCCTGCAATGAATTTGCTTTCCTCCTTCACTGACAAAATTCAGAAAATTAGACAAGCAGTCAGTGCCTCTGTATCAGGTACAGCAAATGTGTTGTCCCTGTGTCCACTTAAAATCACCATGACACAATTCCATCGGATTAATGATAAAAACCTAGAGGACATTATTCAACTTCTGAAATCCTCCTCCTGCTGCCTTGATATTATTCCAACAGGATTTAAAAAAAAAAATGTCATTGCATGGCCTGAGATCTACTTCATATAGTAAACAAGTCTCTTCACTCAGGTGTTTTTCCTAAAAACGGTAATGCTTCAGTAATGAACAATTACAGGCCCATATCAAACCTGCCATTTCTAGGTAAAATCATTGAAAAAGTAGTAATTTCTTGCATTTAAATAACTGTTTTGATGTGTTCCAGTCAGGCTTTTGTCCAAACCACAGCACTGAGACTGCTCTTGTAAAGGTCTTCAATGACATCCACTTAAACACAGACAGTGGCAGAACTTCAGTGTTAGTATTATTAGATCTCAGTGCTGCGTTTGACACTGTTGACCACAACATATTACTAGACCGACTGGAAAACTGGGTGGGACTTTCGGCAACAGTTCTAAATTGGTTTGAATCCTACTTAAAGGACAGAAAAAACGTTGTTTCTATAGGTAAATACACATCTGAGTTGACAAATATGACATGTGGGATTCCTCAAGGCTCCATCTAGGGGCCTCTTCTCTTTAACATCTACATGCTCCCACTGGCTCAGATAATGAAAAACAACAAAATAAGTTACCATAGCTATGCGGATGACACACAAAGGTACGTAACCATTTCACCAGGAGACTATGATCCAATTCAAACACTAAGTAAGTGCATTAAACAAATCAATGACTGGATGTGTCAGAACTTTCTCCAATTAAACAAAGATAAAACTGAGGTAATGGTTTTTGGAGCCAAGGCAGAACGTTTAAAAGTTAGCGCTGAGCTTCAGTCTGCAATGTTCAAAACAACAGATAAAGCCAGAACTCTAGGTATAGTCATGGACTCTGACCTGAGTTTCAACAGTCACATTAAAACAATTACTAAATCAGCCTACTATCACCTAAAGAATATATCTAGGATTAAAAGACTTATGTCACAGCAGGATTTGGAAAAACTTGTCCATGCTTTTATCTTCAGTAGACTCGACTACTGTAATAGTGTCACTGCAGGTCTCACTAAAAAATCTATTAGAAAGCTGCAGCTAATTCAGAACGCTGCTGCTCGAGTCCTCACTAACACTAAGAAAGTGGATCACATCACTCCTGTTCTGAAGTCTTTACACTGGCTTCCTGTGTGTCAAAGAATTGATTTCAAAATATTGCTGCTGGTTTATAAAGCACTGAATGGTTTAGGCCCAAAATACAGTTCTGACCTGCTGCTAAATTGTGAACCATCCAGATCTCTCAGGTCTTCAGGGACTGGTCAGCTCTGGTCCCCAGAGTCAGAACTAAACATGGAGAAGCAGCGTTCAGTTATTATGCTCCAAATATCTGTCCAAACTCCCAGAAACCTGCCGGTCCGCTGCAACTCTGACTACTTTTAAATCCAGGCTGAAGACTTTTCTTTTTGCCGTGGCTTTTAATTGATATATTCATATCTTAAACTGCACTGTAACTTTTATTATCTTTGCTTTTTATCTTTGCTTTTAAATGAGTGTTTTTAAATGTCATTTTATATCATTGCTTTTAAATGAGTGTTTTTAGATCATTTTATAATATGTTTCTTAATGCTCTTAATGTCTTTCATTTTTGTAAAGCACTTGCCTTGTGTTGAAAGGTGCTAAACCTGCCTTGCCTTGCCTTACAGCCATACCAAGAAATGGCTTAGCCCCACCATGAACAATTATGTTAAAGTAAGCAAAAAAAAGTTCACCAACTCGCGCCGAGTACATTTCACAGACAGCAGCTAGTAAGATTGATTTCGGCAGCCACTTGTCTGGAAATGCCGAAGACTAGAAACGGTTTTGAAAACGTTTGTCACGTAGTGATCGTCTTCTCAATAAAACATCTTTGATAATGTCTTCTGGCCAATCAGAATCACGATAACGGCATGGTGTTGTTGCAGGAAGTCCCGACGGAGAATAATTTTGCGGTAGAACTTCTCTTTATATATCCATGCATGGATACAACATTACGTGTTGATAGAAATCAACATGTAATGAAATAAGACCCCACGGTTTGATGATTGATAGGTGTGTCTGTGTCTTTCATTTTGACACACAGAACAATGGGGGATATCCACCCTTATCCACAATGTAAAGTAATTCACACAGCCTCTTCCCTCTTCTCTCTGTGAGGAGCAGCAGGTTCAGCTTTCAGAACAAAGTAACAAAAAAGGCATTAATTCATTATTTTTTAGTACCAGAATCAGAATGTGTATCCCTCCAGACCCCCCTGCAGGGGTTGGGTTTTCAGCAAGTCAACTTTTTCACATGTGGGGAAATTGTAGGATTGGCTCCAGTTCGCCCTTTTTATTTACTACAAGACAAATGTGCCTTTTTATTTCATACAGTTCAATTTGGATTGAGACAGGGAAATAATCTAAACCTCACGCGTGGCGTTTCACTGTCAAGGGGGGCGATATAGCGTGTATGTAATTACATTGCAAATACTGACTTGAGCCCCACCACTGTATAGGTTAGCCCTACCATAGATTACCCAACACAAATACTCTGGAGCCGCCACTGGGCGCCTTTCAAAGCTCTCAAGGACACCTTACAGAGCATAATTAAAAACAAGCAACAAAGAAGGTCAAACAGTAATTCGAGACTTAAAAAGCAAAGACTTAAAAAGCAAAGACTTAAAAACAACAATCAGTTTAGAGGAATTATGATATAGAATACGCCAGTTTAAAAAGGTGGGTTTTCAGGCAGGATTTGAAGGTTGAGAGTGAGTCCATATTGCGGATGTCTTGTGGGAGAGAGTTCCAGAGATGGGGGGCAGAGTGGCTGAAGGCTCTTGACCCCATGGTGGTCAGGCGGGCAGAAGGTACAGTGAGTTGGAAGGCAGAGGAGGATCGGAGAGCACGAGAGGGAGTGTAGGTGTGAAGGAGTTCAGAGAGATATGGAGGTTCAAGAGTGTGAAGGGCCTTGAAGGTGAGGAGCAACATTTTGAAGTCAATGCGGTATTTAACGGGGAGCCAATGGAGTTATTGAAGAACCGGAGTGATATGAATGATCAATGGAAGGAGTTCTGGTAATGATACGGGCGGCTGAGTTTTGGACCAGTTGGAGCTTACGCAGAGATTTGTGGAGAGGATGGAGTTGCAATAATCAATACGGGATGTAAGGAGGGCGTGGATGAGAATGGCGGTGCTGTTGGGTTTGAGTGACGGGCGGAGACGGTTAATATTGCGGAGGTGGAAGTAGGCAGATCGAGTAATGTTGTTGATGTGAGCTTCAAAAGATAGAGTGCTGTCGAGGATGACACCCAGACTCTTAACTTGGGGGGAGGGGGGGACTGTGGAGTTGTCAATGGTAAGGACGAATTTGTCAGTTTTGGAGTGGACTTGGAGCCAACTAAAAGAACCTCGGTTTTATCATTGTTTAGTTTGAGAAAGTTGGATGAGAACCAGGATTTGATTTCCAGTAAGCAGTCGGAAAGGGTAGTGGGGGGGAGAGTGGAAGTGGGTTTGGTGGAAAAATAGAGCTGGGTGTCATCCGCGTAACAGTGAAATTGGATTGCGTATTTTCTGATGATATGGCAGAGAGGTAGGAGGTAGATGATAAATAGGACGATTGGTGCGACATGAGAGGGAGGGGAGTCCGTAGAGGAAGTTCTTGATGTATCTACATTTCACAAATCACCTATAATGGTGAACTTTAGGTAATAACCAAAAGGACCTTCTGAAAATGTATGGAAGAAGCTGGATCAACAAATGACAGGAACACTTTGTCCAGGTAATTAACTTCAATTTTGGTTTGGGAAACGTGACTGCTATTTGTGCTCACATCCAGTCTGTATGCACATCTGAGGAAATGTCCTCACCTGGATTCTATGGCACTTTCCACAGACAGAGGGCAGTAGATCCTGTCGTAGGTCGTCTCCTGTGGACCAGAAAGTTAATCAGTGTTCTCACATTCAGAAATATGGATGTCAACTCAACATGAGGCATGCCTGATCCATGAGGGAGACTCACTGTGACTCTGTGAGTGATGACAGTCTGCAAGGCCTCAGAAGAAATCTGCAACAGAGAGCCGACCCTCCTGGCCTCCGCCTCGCTGAAGATCCGCGCCACCTCAAACGACTCGCTCTGAAGCAGAAATGATGTATGATGTCAATATCCTATCTGTGTAATTCTCATTGCCTCCCCCCCCCCCCCCCACACACACACACACACACACACACACACACACACACACACACACACACACACACACACACACACACACACACACACACACACACACACACACACCTCGTAGGAGCTAAAGCAGACGTTGCCGAGCTGCAGGATGGAGGACAGGATGGCCCAGATGGTGGAGATCTGGTCAGCGTGCAGGCCGATGGTCTCAAAGCACTGAAGCATCAGCTGGAAGTCCTGCTTGTCCTGCTTACCCTTCAGCTCACATGCACCACCCTGGAGGAGAAATTATATATGGGACATGTATATCGATAGGAAAACATGACATTACAAACAGCAGAGATGGAGAATAGTAGGAGGAGGAGTGTGGTACTTGGTTCAGGTAGTAGTAGGTCTCGGCTCCTTGCAGGTAGAGCTCCTGTTTGTCCCAGTCGTTCATCCCCGCCAGCAGCTCATAGAACACGTGGAAGTTCCTCTCCTCATGGGCCTGCAGGGGAGGGTAACAGAACGGAGGACCTTCAATAAACAACAGCAGTAAACCACACATACAAATCTGTGGTTGTGTTGTTTACTTATTTACACTCCAACCCATTGGAAAGAATGTTGAAATGAAATGAAATGAGAGAAAAGGTAACCATATGCCCTATGCTTTCTGAAAACAACCAGAAAGTCTGTCTGTTTGAGCACACAGCACACATCAGTCAATGTCCTCACCTGAAACACAACCCTGGACTTCTCCAGGAGATATTTGGACAACGAGGTTCCCACAACAACGCCACTGTCAACCAAGATGAGAGACAGACGACACATAAAAAAAGAACTCACCCAATGTCTTCAGGGGGGCAACAAAGGAACATGAAAAGATATGTCTACCATCAGGGGAACTCACTGGAGAATGTGGATGTGGAGGTACTTGCCGAAGCGGCTGGAGTTGTTGTTGAGGATCGTCTTGGCATTCCCGAAACTCTCCAGGATGGGAAAGACCTCCATGGGCTGGAGGAGATAGAAATATATCAAATACAAAATGGGTGGAAGACTTTACATTTAATTAAATTGTTTTCTTTTCTAGTTTTCCTCAGATTCGTACCTGTCGCAGGTTGTTGTTCCTGCCCTGGTACATGGAGCTGAGGTAGTGTACTATCAGCTTGGTAGCTTCAGTCTTCCCTGAACCACTCTGGCCACTGCACAAGAATTAAGATTACCATGAATATGTCACAGCTTAAAAATTAGGTGAAATCGGCTAATTGTTTATTGTATACTATGTACCATGAAATATGACTCAAAGTGTACAGCGATGCTGGCAGATCAGTGCTGAGCTAAATCCTGACATGAACATGATCACAATGACTTTAACATTAGCATGCTGATGTTGAGCAGGGGTTAAAAAAAACCTCTTGGTGTGTATGGTGGAATCCTTCTTCATGTATTATATCTCTGCCTTTAAGGAAGGAATGAACATGCACATCTTTATATTACAATTTAAACAGGCATATAGTTTCATTTTTCAAAACGCTAAGTCATTTCCTTAAACAGATGGCCACTGTATATCTAGGGTAATGATAACTGGAACAGGAGGATATAGAGCATTTGTGTGGGACTGTTTTCAGTGGTGGGTAAATCCACATTTGGTTCATTTGGCAGTAGGACAGTGTACAGTGTGTGCTCATGGGGATGAAGGGAGATGTCACCTTGTAAATCAGAGTGGCTCATTGATGTGTTTAAAAGATGTTTTAACAACAATAGAGCTCTGTGGCACAGAGAAAAAGAATACTTGCTACCAGCCTGGACAGTGTACAGTATATGTGTGTGTGTATGTGTGTGTCTGTGGACATTTTGTGACCTCAGTGCATCTACATCAAAGTCAATCGTCACCATGCTGTACAGGTGTGTATTTGAGATCAAAATGAAGACAAAATGAGTTTGCAGATGGGTGAGGTTTCAGCAAGGCTGCCAGAAGGAGGGGGGGGGGGGGTGTAGGTAGCAGGGAAGGGGCCATTGGCTTCCATACATCCCTGGCCTGATTTGGCCATGTCTGTGGTATAGGATCCCTTAGTTGGATAGTCTCATGTTATTACATGCATTCATTGATGTTTTGGTATTTGTATTGCATGAGGGCCATAAGAAAACTATCAAACATAAACAGCCTAAATATTTATAATATGTCTCTGTATTATAGAGGTTCGGAAAGAGCAGGTTTTAAAGTTTAAACCCCAGGCCGGTAAGGTCAAACCGAGAATTGTGTGTAAACCTCATTGAAATAAATGATACATTATGATATTGGTGTCCTCGTCAGTACCTGATGATGATGCACTGCTCCTGTGTGGAGGCCTGAGACTGACTGAAAGCAGCGTCAGCTATGGCATACACATGGCTGAAGCATAGAACAACACAGGGTCAAACATTAGGACAGAATAACGTCAGGCAGAGACGTTCCGATGGGTTTAAACCTTTGAGGAGAAACATTCTGATAGCTCTAATTGAAATGAAAATGAAACAAAGAAAGTGGATGCACACAGTGTGGGAAGGGTCTGCTCACGGGGGGTTTCTCTGCTGCTCTTTGCCCTCGTACTTGAGTCTCAGCTCCTCTGTGTAGATGTTAAGGGCCTTGAAGGGGTTAATGGACAGCATCATGTTGCCAATATAAGTCTGGGGAAAAGAAAAGGACATTCAGATAATAAACACTAAAAGCATTATTGTTGTACCGTTTTAGGGCGGGGGGGAAACAGTCTGAAACAGATATTTATCTCTGATTTAATTTGGTTGTTGCTTTTTATGTATCTACAATATCTTATCCCCCTCACTAGTTTTTTGTGCAGATTTCCACTATGTCTCATTGACCTTCTCAGTTGATGGAATTGGTTTGGTTTTTTAGCTCACTTTATTCTGTGTATTTCTAATATATTTAAACTATTATTTTGAAAAACCTCTTTATTCTAAATGTGTTGTTGCAGTATGAAGGTATTTCACACATATAATATAGCATTAAGCCTTTGAGGTGTTTGAGATCATAGTGTGAGGACAGTAACTCACATAGATACAGTCACGGTGGAACCTCTTCTTCAGATTGAGAAGCACGGAGCTCTCACACACCTCCCTAAGAGACAGGTTCAAACAGTGCATATTTATACTGAAGGAACTGTGTGTGTGTGTGTGTGTGTGTGTGTGTGTGTGTGTGTGTGTGTGTGTGTGTGTGTGTGTGTGTGTGTGTGTGTGTGTGTGTGTGTGTGTGTGTGTGTGTGTGTGTGTGTGTGTGTGTGTGTGTGTGTGTGTGTGTGTGTGTGTGTGTGTGTGTGTGTGTGTGTGTGTGTGTGTGTGTGTGTGTGAGAGAGAGAGGGGGGGAGGGAGAAACTCACTCTAGCTGGGACAGGTCCTCCACCTCATCCACCTCTACAGAGGTTTTGCTGCCAGGCATCACCACCTAGAAAATGCAGACATGAGAAGCACTGAGGATATACATATTAAAGCTCACCACGTCCATTTGAACCCTCCCTTCAGTCAGTACCATGAACTTCAGATAACTTCGCCCTTACCTTCTGTCCACAGCCATCTTCTAGACTGGATTAAATGAAATGAAATGAAGTAAATGATCCTTCACCAGAGAGGGTCCTTTATGGTTTAAGAAGTGTTTTGTTTGTTCTGCCTATGGTCCTCTCCACACCTGACTTTTCCACAGCAGGTAACCAATCTTCTCGCAGCAGTTGAGCAGTGATAGCTGATATACTGCAATCTCATAGGTGTGTGTTATGCTCTATTGTATCAGCACAGACCAGGAAATAAATTAACCAGCAAGTCTTTTATGTCCTTTTGTCTTCTCTGCACACCGCCTAAAAGTGATGAGGTAGAACTGATATGCTGACATTCTGACATAAGAATGTTGTCTTATTTATTTATTTTTACACAAAATCTTTTTTGTTAGATTCATTTTATCATTCAGTTTCTTTTTTCCTTTTCGCTGTTAACTGGCTGTTTTGGTAAAAAGCTCCCAAAGCTATAGGCTACTAGGGCATTGCTCAAGAGCTGATACTAACTGGGAGTTCCAGGTAAGGGTTGCCGGCAGTGCTGTCAATAAGGATTGGTTAGGCTGATGTATTGTAGTATAACAATAAAATAGACTACAACAGTTTACAACTAAACGTATATCAATCAGGACAAGCCTTTAAACTGTCCTTTCAATAGATCTTTAAAATGCCCAACTTTACAGCAGAAATAAACATGTTTACAGCCCAATGAGTACAATTCTAATGTCATCTTATTTATGTTAGCACTAATTAGCATGTAGCCTAGCAGGGCTCGTAACTTGGCTTGTTAGCTTCACACATTGTACTACAAACTCTAAGTTGGCTGTTCTTTTTTGTCCGGTGAATACATTTTTAAATAAGGCTGCTAAAGTTTTCCCAATTAATGTTACACAAACTACTGATGCATCTATCTAACTAAGCTAGTTTAGCTAGTGCTAGCTACAGTGGGAAAACAAGAGAAGAGCCACCTACCAAAGTCTTACAACGTTCTTTGTTCAAGGTCTAACTATTATAAACCCTGGGTTAAGGTTATGAGTTTATATGTCTTTGCTTCAATTACATTTCTGCAAAAAGTGATTCATTGCTGTTTTTAGTAATCCAATGAGTTTACCACGATCAGGACGCCTGCTCTTTAGATTCTGCACAAAGGACTCACTGACAGACGGTAATAACACGTAAGGAATTATCCTAGCAAAAGACACAAACTGAAACACAGATGTGTCTGAGTGGAAAATGTTTTAGTATAAAACAGATTTTGAGGTTTGGATTTGACTATTGGGAAGTTCAAGACTTTATGACTCCAAAAGTGTCCCGCTAAAAGAAGAAGCGGAACATGGAAATAAATGACAGAAAGCCCCGGATTTCACAGGTTTTCAGTTAAGTCAGAGTCCAAGCAATATAAACATTGCTACAGGTGATGGCTCTTTTTCATAATGCGGTATCAATACCTGTGTGTTGTTCAATCGACTCTCCAGCATGTCCTGGGTGGGGTCCTCTGATTCCCAGGGGCCCCTGCCATTGTGAGCAGGGACGGTCCTGGCCTGGCCCATATCATCATAAACTGTCCACTTGGTTAGCTTCTCCACTGTTTGGTGGGGCAACAGGTTCTCAGCACGCAGCCAATTCTGATCCCACACACAGCAAAGAAAGAAAACTGATCTCAAAAGAGTCTTGAATCACGCAGATTGTACTAAATGTTGTCACACACCCTCTTTTGTTAATTCTCTATGACTTGTACAAGTGGCATAGTGAGGTTTTATATTCAAAATGTCATAACAGAGTTCTAATGAAAAGCCTACCACCAGAAAAGTGACACGTACCTGAGGGTCCCCACTCATCCGCGGGTTACCTGCCCAGTGCACCTCTGATTGGGCGATCGTATATATACCACCCTCACCCATCAGCTGGGCCACTTCCCTGTCTGCCTCTTCTTCATACAAGGACCGGACACCTGATATCACAGCACCTGCCTCCCCATTTTGAAATTGAGTGGTGGACCTGGGAATCCCAGCTGCAGCTTCTCTCTCTGGGTCTGGCCCCTTGACCCGAGTCGGACCACCATTGATTGTTCCCCCTGACAAGGACATCTTAGTCAGGTTGATCTTGGAGGGGTTCAGTTTTCCTCTTGCAGCCTGTAGCACATTCACTCCATCTTGATTGTCAAGGACTGCTCTCCTGTTTCTATCCTCAGTGTTGGATGATGCCTCCGGTGCACCACTGGACCCAGGGCTCCTCTCTGACACATCTGTACCTGCCAGTAAGGCTCCTGGCAAGGTCTTCTTGATGGACTTCAGGAGGCTGAGATCTGGTTTAACAGGGAGCACCAGCCTGGCACCTGGTTTTGGGGGTTTTGGCAGTGATGTAGTGGGTTCCCCTGGTGGTCCAGTGGCACTTGAGGCAGTAGCGGGTCCAGCAGCTGCCTGGGGCACGTTGGCTGTCTTTGCCTTGCCCAGTTTGTTCATCCTGGGGAATACCACCGCGTATTTGGCTTCTACTTCTTTCTCCCCAGCTAGGACCGCATCCTCCCCTCCGTCTCCTGCATTTTCCACAAGGCTGGAACTCTCTTTACCCATTTTGTCCACAGAGGAACTCTTTTTTTTCTGACTGGCCAGGCTGGTTTTACTGGCAACTCTCATGGCCATCCTATGTTTGAGAATATTGCCCTTAGCTTTTCTGGGCCCTTGCTTCTGTTTTATGGTCCGAAAAGATAGCCAATGGGAAACACCGATGGCTTTAGTCCAAGCGGAAAGCTTCTTTTTCATGTTTAACCCCCGGGGCATGTTTTTCTGAAGCCAACCAGACATTCGGTGAAGAGTGGTCATACCTTTTCTTCGTGCTATCAAACGTTCCATGGGTCTGCTGGACCCCACATCAATGGCCTCACTCTCGGATGAATCCTCTTCCGGTTTGGATAACATCTTATTTGCTTTATGCTGGAGAGATGACATCTTGACTTTGCCCAAGAGCAAGCTCTGTGGAAGCCCTTTGACGACACGTCCAGCGTCCTGCTGTTCTTCCACCTTCAGAATGTTCTTGAGGTCTTTACCTTTTTCTTTGAGAAGCATCATTCGGTTTTGGCCTTTGATGGCTTTGGTCAATGTCGATTCAGCCTCCTCCTCCTCCTCTTCCTCATCTGGGTCAGTTTCTTCAGGAGCATCTTTCTCATGAGTACTTTTTCTTTTACCTTTTGGTGATTCAATCTCCTCCGTTGCAGAACTGTGTTTTTCCTCTTTCTGTGTTTTAGTCTTTTTCTTTTTCTTCTTTTCTTCCTTAGCCTTTTGCTTGGCTTCCTTTGCTAACCTCTTCTTCTCTGCGCTGGCTCTCTGTTTCTCCGCCTTCTCCGCCTGCTTATCTGCCTTTGTTTTTTTGTACATCTTGTTTTTCGGTCCTTGAGCAAGCTTCGAGGGATGTGGAGCCTGTCTGCGTCGTCTGCCGCCTTTATCAGCTGTTGGCTTTTCAGACTTGTCCTCATGGGTTATCTCGTCTTCCTCGCTCTCATCATGGATAGCCTTCGGACATACTTTAACTTCCTTCTCTCTCTCCTCTTCTTCTTCGCTGGATGTGGCCGGTTGACTTGAAAGATCTTTGTCCGATTCTTCGGTCTCTGTCCGGTCTTTATTTCTTTGAGTATCTAACGCCTCAGCCTCCTCCTCAATGCTGTCCTCACTCCCAAGTGTCTCAGATGGCTCTTCGTCACTTCCCTGCTCCTCCTCTTTCTCATCGTTACTCATTTCCTCTTCAGTGACCTCCGCTGAGTCTTCTGTATCACTTTCAGAGTCCTCCTCCTCACTCGCTGACACTTTCACACTTCTCTTGTTATCAGGCTTAGGGGGGAGTTTCTTGTTGATCCTTCCTTGTATAGTTGCTTTTGGTAAGGGCTTGAGTTTGGTGGTCTTCTGTATGCCCATCTTACTATCTTTGTCATGTTGAGTTTGTGATATACTTTTTGCAGTTTTGCCATTTCCTAGTGTGCTCCCAACTTGTTCTTTTGGTCCTGTACTTCTTGTTTGACTGTGATCTATTTTATTACTTCTGTGGCTCTTCACTTCCAATGTCTTGCCGTCTTCTAGAGTTGGTAAATCCCCTCTAACTCTTTGTTTCACACTCGGCTCTTTAGAGGGAGAATGTGATGCTTTGGAACCATTCTGTCTCACATTTTTCTGCTGACTTTCTTTTTTTTCCTTCTGCTTCGTAGCATGTTTTTTACCTTGGGAGTTCACCTGTGACATGCTACTGTATCAGTTCTTCAGAGATGAAATGACCTAGGGTACAAACACAATATAAATTGTATTTATTTTGTCATTTGAAGGCAAGTGTTGAAATCTATCAACAACACACTTTGATAAATAAGTGAGCCACTCAATAAAAAGAAAGATGTAGGACTGTAAGTTGAGTAACACGTCTGTCAAACTCAGTGAAACCAGGTCCTTGGCTCAATCTATCAGCATCTAGACCAGGTTACACACTTGAAGTCCCTGATCCTCGTTCTGAGGTTAAAGACACCCAGGTCAGACCTAGTTTAGCCACGACTGAAATGATAAGCATTCTGACAGTTATTGCCAAGCTAAGTATGAGTGCAACAGTGCATCTCCATCAACATTCATTTAACAATATGACAGCAGCTATGACTCTTTTCCATGCTGGATGATAACGACTCTCCGTTTCCTTTTAACAGCAAAGAGAAGCTCTTATCTGCATGTTAAATCTAAACGGCAGTGAAAGGCTATCTGTAGATCCGCCTAAATGTAGTTGTATAGCCTGTGCGTCCTGGGGGGGAAAGCAGTGAGAGCTCATTTCAGTGTGATATAGCTTACCAGGCTTCTCAGGTGAAACCCAGGCATGGCTGGGGGGCTGCAAAGTGCTCCGGCTTGTCCTCAAGAGCTGGTGTCACTGATACAAACATGCACCCAAGCTCAGGAGCACTGAAGGGAAGTCACACACCAATATCCCACCCATTATACAGAAAAGGCATGCAGCCAAATATGTAATGCACACCCCCAAAAAGTTTGTGCGTGGTTTTTGCATAAACACAATGCTCCTGTGGACAAAGGTGAGCTGGTGTGCACTGGCTCGTGAACACACAAGGTGCCTGCTGAATAATACAGCTGTACCTGGTCATACTGCTCTGCTGCCGCTCATGAGGCTGCAGCTGAATACTCCGGAGGAAACGGGAGAGGAGAGATGCTCAGAGCGATCAACAGAAGGTGCTGATGGATGAGAGAGGGACAGAAAGACAGGGGAGGGAGAGGAGAGATTGTTACGTTGCCGTTTATTGGGAGGGAAATTCCATAAGTGTGTGCCAGAATGCTGGACAGGCCTTACAACTACATGTCAAATATCCATGGAAGTCATAAGTATTTTGAAAGTAAAACATTTTGAATTGTCTTTGTACTCCAGCAAGTATTTTTTTTTAAAATAAACTGTTAAGCAGTATTTACATTGTTACTCTACCTATTTTTCTATAAAGTGAAGATTTGTTTACCTACTTTGTATACATGCTCATTGCTCTGATAGAATAACTGTATGCTGTTGAAAAAACCCAATAAAAAAATAAAATAAAAAACTGGTTGAGATCAATCTGCCATACAAAGTTAAAGGGGCCCTATAATGCCTATTTTCAGGTTTCATGTTTTGTTGTGTCTCTACTGTGACTGTCTCCATGCTTTAATGTTCAAAAAGCTCTTTATTTTTCTCGTGCTGCAGCACCTCTTTTCACCCTCTGTCTGAAACCAGAGCCCAGTCTGCTCTGATTGGTTAGCTGGCCGGCTCTGTTGTGATTGGTCAACCACTTAGAGATGTCCCGCCTCTTAGCCTATCACTTACAATGTGTTAGAGTGCTAGCCAATAGAAGCCTGAGTGTTACATAGTGATGTCACTATGTTAGAGTAGTAAAACAAAGGAGTCCAATGGAGGCATTTCAGGCAGGGGAGGGGGGAGTGTGTGTGAGAGAAACTCCCCCTGGAGGGAACACAGGGATTTTAGCCTTTGCAGACCCCCCCCCCCCCCCCACTCTTGAACCTGGACAGCAATGTACAGTATTACAGTATTCTAAGAATATAACAAGATGGGGCATCTCTGAAACAGGAGATAATTGGTTCCCAGAATAGTACAACATTTAGGTTTTGTAAAGGACACACTTTAAAGTGGACCTATCATGCTATATTTGAATATTATAAAACGGACAAGCCAAATCAAGCAATCTGATTGGTTCTTAGCCGTGATATACTGAGCGTATACCACGGGTAGAATTGTAAGTTACTTTTCACAACAAGTCAGTATCCCTCCGCGTCTGAGATAAACAGTATACAGTTGGGCAGACCTCCGCTTCGCGTCGGGCCGAACCACGCCCCTTAACTGTGATATAATGGCCATATACCACGGCCTGTCGTGAGCTATTGCTTAAATATATTGTAGGGTCATACCTATATAAAACATGTCGGTGAAGTTTTTTTTTCAAAATACCAAACAGATCATGCATTTTAGCCATGGGTGCGTTTCACTTCGATTAAATGGAATCCTTGCGTCCCTCACTTGCGTCGTTTCCCTGCGTTTAGTCCCTCCCACCAGGGAAGCATGGAGAGACGCAAGGAAACCACGAGAAGCAGGGAAATGAGTTTTAAGAGCAATGGGACGTCCTTTCCTCCGGAGCGTCACGTGAAGCGACGTCCGTTTGTGATGACGCTGCACAGCTGTTCGTCTGACAGCAGCTCTGTCCCCATTATTTTCACAAACACCCCCGCCTCTGTTAGTACACATTTACTGACATAAACATTTGTATCATCTGTTGTAGACCCAAATACATTAAATAAAATAAGTCATTCTCAAAAAAGATAAACGCCATTCTTAAAATGTATAAACGAACAATAGTTAGATTAATATTGATTAGAGTGCTCAATAGAAATAAAATAATTCAGAGAAGAAAAAGAGATATGTTATCTATCAAAACCCAGTTAGATTAACATTCATTGGATTGCACACTTAGTTTGTTTGTGTGGATATGTAGCAAATTAACATTTTAAATAGCACTTAATGACTGACTGAATGGAAATGACAATAAATGAAAATGTAAAACGAAAAGAGCGATCATGAAAATGTTTCCAATAAATGAATAAAATGATCTTTGTCCACTTTGTTGTTCAGATATATCACATATTTGTAACTGAATGATACATTAATTGAAACAAAACACAGTATAAACTGAGGAGTGAGTCCCGTGAGTTTCATGTGTTTTCTTCACTCCGCTGGGAAACTCTGCTCTCATGTCAAGAAGCATCAGATCAGTACATGCACTGCATCGTCCAATCAGTGAGCGATACACAGTAAGGGGGCGGGGCGAGTGTCTGAGGATTTCACCGGAGGATGGTCTGGTGGTTCCTCCGTTATCACTCGATCCTCCGGCAAAAATAAGGCCACTGGGACGGTACTCAAGATGGCGCAGACAAATCAACTTCCGGTGAGACCGAGCCCGAGGAGCGAGGAAATGAAAAATAACTGAAGTGAGACGCAGCCCATGCCTCATTTTGCTCTATTTGCTCTTTTCCAGCCCTGTTTTTGCAAGGGCTGATTCTGTGAGAAGTCTTCTTCCCTGCTTTTGTGGCAGACTACAGCGCCACTTACAGGCCTGGCATATGTACTACAGCGTCTCCAGCGCTTTCCCACATTCCCCTGATAGGTTGAGAGTTGCCCATATAGGCGGAGCTCCCCGTTTCTGACGTCAGAACAATTTCAAATCCGTATCAGCTCCGTTGCAGCCCCGTTTTTAGAGATTTGGGAATGGAGGAAAAGAGAGGGTTTTATTTTCTGACGCTGCTTGAGTTCCCTGACACACCGGGGACACATATTCATGTATAAAAGACGTACAAAAGTGCATTTTTGCATGATAGGTCCCCTTTAAGTTAGGGATACTGGGGTTGGGGATTTGAAAAGGTCTTCCCCAAATCTTGCTCCCAATGGAGAAGGAGAAGAAAGTCAGTCTTAGTGTGGGAAGTACAGAGCCTAGCTTAGCCCACTGGAAGGGGACAGAGCTGGCCATAACACATTAAGCTCATTACCAAAGTCCATGGTACTTTGGCACCACTTAACATCTTCAGGTTGCTAAATGATGATGAGTCATGTTGCAGGGTCGTCCTCTCACAGAGCTGCTGTTAGCGGGCAGGTCCTCAGAGGGATCAGGTTGCAGCAAAGCCACCAGGCTCCAGGCAATTAGAGGACAAAGCGCCTCTTTCTATAATGGATGATCAAAACTCTTGGCCGTGCATGTATGACAACTGATCCTCTTTTATCCACCTCTGCTCAATAAGACCAATATTACAGCTGGGCTTTATGAAAAAGGCAGAAATTAAAAACATTTGGGAACATAACCAGTGTAACCAAAAAGAATGGGTTGGGGATCTATTTCTTTTCCTGTTTCAGGGGAGATAGAAACACAATTCAGACGTTCTGAAGGAGCTTTTTGCTGTGCAGCAGAGGAGGATGATGTGGGGAACAAATGGTTACATAATAAAGATAGCAGTGTACTTCAAATAAAAACAGACACATTCATTCTTGGGAAAAACATGTAATGATAATAATCCACAAGAAAACTGTAGTGTGAAGTTACAAATAAAAAAAATTAGGGTTCTTAATCAGTTCACTACAAAAATATATTCTAGGCTGATGCTAAATACCCAGCATTCTGAGACACAGTACCAACATATTTCCTTGTGATCTAAATAGCAGCCAACCCCAGTTACAACAGGCCCACAGGTACAGACTGAGTCACATACATACTGTATATATTAAAACATTTCACTAACATAGCTTACAATTACATTCCTAAATTACATTATTCATTTCTGGCATAAAAAATTGTTTACATCAAAATAATTAAAAACCAAACCCCATAGAAAGCTGTTCCCCCCCAAAAAGC